GCTGGATGGACAGTCACCTCCACAGAGAGGGCAGCAGCAAAGGGGATGCAGGCCAGGACTTCCCCACTTGCATGAGGCAACGCTCATTTGTCTGTTTCAGTCATGCCTGTTTCACAGATGAGGAAAGTGAGGCCTGAGGAAGTGCAGAGGTTCACTCAAGGCCACTCAAGGCCCTCCATCACTCCCCAGGCAGAAGGGTCCAGGACCCCAGGAGTCCTGTCGCCCAGGCAAAACACTGGCTCTGCAGGAGACCTGCTGGCTTCAGCCTCAGAGGCCAATTTCTCAGCCAGGAGGGTGGGGTGTTGAGCCAGACAGGTCTGTCCTGGGCTGGAAGCCAGCTCACAGCCCCCAGAGAACAGAACATGTCTGTTTTATGAGGGCACATTGTGCCCTGGCTGCGCCAGCTCTCCTGCTGGGCCTGGACTGGTGACTGGAAGGTACCACCTCAGAGAGAATGATGGAATGGAGGTTCACGACCTTTCGGGACCTAGCATTGTCAGACCTCCATCCAGAGCCCAAGGACCCTGCTTCTCAACCCCCTTGTCGTCTATGACCTTGAGCACATCCCTGCCGCAGGCTTCCTCTCGTCTGTGAAGTGAGGATGTTAGAGCACAGCTTCAGAGCCCCTCCGTGTTGTAGGGGGTAACAGATAAGGGCCTAGGTGGGTAAGGAAGTGCTTTGCAGACTGTAAGTGTTTAAATGTCTTTTTGGGCTTGGTCCTACCTTAGCTCCAAGTCAATACCCAGTCAACTTTCAAGGTTTTGCCTCCTTCACAAGACGGCGACTGCTGTGGAGAGGAAAATGGTGTGGGGTGGAGCTCAGGAGTCCACTATCCTCACCCAGTAGGCTTATAAACCCATTGGGCAGATGGGAAAACTGAGGTCCAACTATCTTTTTGGAGTATCCAAAAAGTGAAGGCCAGGCTGTCTAAATCCAGAGGTGAAAAGTATCTTTTTTCATTTAAAGATTGGGCAGATGGGGTAAATGGAGGGCTCTGGAGGGGAAGCAACCTAACTCAGGGACTCAGCAAAGGGCACCAGTGACTGTTGAGACCCTTGACTCCAGGGTATGCAACAACCCCCCCACTCCTTGTCAGCAATCCCCTAGGCTTGAAGACAGAGTTTCTGTCACAGTGGGAGGCTCACAGCAATGCCACTGACCAACTTTGGGTGCCTGGTGAACCTCATCTTCTTACCATCCAAACAAATGGGAAAAACCCCACAGGGGGACATTGGAGCCTCCACCTCCAGAACTCCACAGTATGACATATGTCACCCGACTCCTCAGTGGGCAGGTTTTGACAAATCCAAAAAATCATGGCCGTCTGCTCCGATTCAGATGAGCACCGTTCAAAGCCCCACCGAGGAGCTCTGCTCTGCCCTACTGGCTCCTGCGAGTCAGAATCGAGTGGATGGTGATGGCCTTTGGCTTCTACATTTCGGTTTTGTGGCCTTTTGTTGCACTCCAGAAAATATATGACGACATTTGGTAATTCCATCTCAGACAAGAGTCTCATAACGAAAGTGTACAGGATACTCCTGGGCCTCCACAAGAAAAACATTGATAACCCAATTACAAAATGGGCAAAAGACATGGAAAGCATTTTCAAAGAGGTAGATATTCGAATGGCAAACAGACACATGAAGAGATGCTCCAAATCACTGACAAATCAAAACCACAATGAAGTACCATCTCACTCCAGTAACAGTGGCAAAGTTTAACAGAGCAGCAAGTAATAGATGTTAGAGAGGATGTTGTAAAAGAAGAACTCATATATTGTTGGTGGAAGTGTAAAATGGTACAACCACTCCGGAAGGCAGCTTAACGCTTCCTCAAAAAGCTGAACATAGAAATTCCATATGACCCAGTTATCCCCCTACTTGGAATGTACCCTGAGAAAATGAGAACTGAGGCACAGAGACTTGTACACCCATGTTCATAGCAGCATTATTCACCACTGCAAGAACATGGAAACAGCCCAGATGATTGAGAAATTATGGCACATTCACAATGGAATACTATGCAGCACACAGGAGCAATAATTTTCTAAATTATTACCTAACTAGGGAGGGACTGGACAGCGTTATACTGAGTGATGTAACTCAGTCCCACAAGGACAAATATTGTATAAAACCATTATTGTAGAATGAGCATAAGGATCCAAGATGGGGGTGGGGGTGGGGTGGAAGCTGAGGGATAAGAATGTGCATGGGATTGGGGTTATTAATCATGGAGTTGTACAATTTGATAGGTGGGGGTGGTGAGGGAAATTGGAAGAATCTGTTCTGGAAAACAAGGTATTCGAATTTTGTAAATGAACTGTTGTTAAGTGCCGTCGAGTTGTAGATGACTCATAGCGACCCTATGAATGAAAGACCTGAACACTTGTATAACTCTCATCGTTTCTCCAAGTTTATAGAGTTTCCAGAGGCAAACTTTCAGAAGTGGATGTCATTCCTGCTTCCAAGCTTGTTTTAATAAACTAGTAAATAAACTAATATGAAAGAGGGGGAGAGAGAGAGAGAGAGACAGAGAGAGACAGAGAGAGAGGAGAGAGAGAAAGAGAGAGAGAGAGAGAGAAGACTCTTAAAAGCAAGAGAGAAACTACCTGGGAATCAACAAGTGGCTTCTGAAGATATTTGTCAGGTGAACTTGGGGCCGAAGATGACACCCTTGACTGAGCACTGTCCCAGGCACTTTCCTAAGAGTCTGCCACATACTAATTAATGTAATACTTACAACGAGCCATTGGAGGTCTCATCAGCCTCAACAGGCAAGGAAACCGAGGCACAGTTTTGAGCCCAGCAGGAAGCTGGCCCCTTAACTGCGGGTCCCATGTGATCAGTACTCTGCTGCCACACTGTCCCTTATGCTTGGAGGCACTCAGATGGAAGTGCTGGCCAGCAGTCCCCAGGCCTCCAGATACAGCCCAGGGCACAGCCAGAACAGGCTCGCATATCTGCAGCCCACTTGCTCAGCCAGCTCCTGTTTGAAGGCCCCCTTTGAGATCTGGCAACTGCTGGCTTCAGGCTTTCTTCTCAACCACACAGTGTGGTGGTCCAGGGTTTGAGCTGTGTGTGGAGTCCTTGAGGGAGCTCTGGTGGCATAATCTGTAGGGAGTTTCACTGCTAGCACAAAGGCCTTATCTCCCTGGTGGGTCTAATCCAGCAGTAGCTCTCTACCTTGAGGGCCACGTCAAGCCAAACCAGGGCCCAGGGCACACGATAATGGCCGGACTCAGCAGACAGCAGAGGGGACAAAGCCCACTGTCACTGCAGGCCCGGCAAGCATCAAGTCCTCAGGCTGACACTGCGGTGTGGCACCAGGGGAAGTGATGAACCTCCCTGAATCTCAGTTTCCGCCTCAGTAAATGGAGTGGCATTAGTAGTGCTCACAGTGGCTTCATAGACCTACTGTGAAAACCACTAGGCCTTCTTGTTGTTGCGTGCCATCAAGTCAGAACCAAACCCTCCAGCAGGTTTTAGAGGTTAATCTCATGGGAGGAGATTGTCCATCCTTCTCCTGAGGAGCAGCGGGTGGATTCGAACCATGTGCCTTAGGGACTGCAGCACAACAACTTTTTACCACTGAGCCACCAGAGCTGCCACAGTCTTGTAAAGCCTCATAAAGGGCTTCTCACAGGGCTAGGCACAGTGAAACCCCCACTCTAAGCCCACTGTCATTGAACCTATTCTGCTCACAGCAGCAGCACTCCATCCGTTTTCTGAATCTGTAAGTCTTTTTGAACAAAGACTTCCCACTTTCTTCTAAGAATCATCTGGTGTATTCAAACCATAAATCTTTTAGTTAGCAACCTAATATGTTATAGACTATACCAGCAGGGCTCCAGGTGCAAAGAAAAGGCAAAATAAATGCTAGCTAGTTATAGTATTATTATTATCAGCCATTAGATCATTTTTATTATGCTTCATATCTGTGCTCCCATCTCCCCAGGGCTGCTATAAGCAGACATATAGTTGGGAATGTAGTTCTTTCTAGAAACAGAGGGACAGATATACAAGGTCACCTTGGAAGCCCCTCACCCCCTCCTCAGTCTCCTTCCTTCTCAACAGTAGCTGAGATCTCTCAGAAGTCAGTTTCCTTACTTGCACCCCAGATTCCCTGGCTCCTTGCCTCTGGCCCCTACTGGCTGGATGCAGTTGCCATGGCAACAGCATCTTAAGTGCCTTTGGCCCCCTTCTGAGCAGGCAGGCATGGATAGAGATGGCTGATCAAATACCTCCTGTGTTCTTAGGCGGGTCTGAGCAGAGGAGTGAGACATGGGGAAATGGCTGGCTCAGGGATGGGTCTCAGCTCCCAGATGTTTCTCACTGGTACCCCACTTTCTGAGTTGCATGAGGAAACACCTAACAATTTGTTGCCAATCAGCTTCTGCCAGCAACCCAACTCCCCCCCAAGCCACCTTGCCATCAGCTCTCCTCAGAGTTCTAAGACAAGCGGGGCCATATGCACCTGGGCAACTCTTGAGTTTTAGAAGATTCCAGAAAGCTTTTTCATTCTTGAGGTTGGTGTGGCCCTCTCTTTGCTGAGGGAGGCCTTGTCTCAAATTCTGCTTCCTCTGGGACCCCAAGACAATAAGCCACTCCCAAATCTCTCCATCCCGTTGATGCAGTGGGAAGGCAAACATGTCCCTCTTGCCGAGGAAAAGTGGATATTTTCCTGTCCTCCAGGTAGGTGCTAGGCCTATTAAGAGACCTCTGGAAGGGTCTGTAACCGCTTCATCATTCTGTAGTTGGACCTGGAGTGATGAGACAACCACAAGCTTTATTGCACCTGGTCCTGACCCCAGGGGCACTTCTAAGACAGTGCTGGCTAGGGGTTTCTGAAGCTGGGATCAGGTCCACTGTTCAGATCCCTCATTCTCATCCTCCCGCTCGGACCAAGCATATAATCAGAGCTCAGCAGCCACGTCAAGACACTGGCCATGTCTCCCCAGCATCCTCTGAGGCTAGGTCCCCACAACTCCTGGGGACTCGTAGCTACAGGGATGCAGGGGGGCTTGTCTGGGGCGAGTCTTCCAGAGACGTCTGGGAGTCTGTTCCCTCTGAGGAGAAGCTGCCCCCCGGTGGGTGGGAGACCTGGCTGGGAGGATTCAGCCATGGCTGCCTGGGGTGTTGGTGCCGGAAGGGGCTGGCAGCCGAGGGGTCGAGGGCCAGGTCCAGGGGTTCACGGGAGCCTTTGCTGTCATCAGCCTGCACAGCCTGGCCAGCTTCCTGGGGCTGAGGGCCTGGCTGGGAATATCTGCTCTGTCCCCTTGCGGTGGCCCGAGAAGCCCAAGGAGATCTGGGGAGACGGTCCACATTCAGAAAGTCCTGCAGAGGCGGAGCCCACCTTCCCTTGGAAGAGAAGTCTCCATTCAGACCCGGGGCCTTGACAGCTGCCCCTCCCAGTTCTGGCTGTGCCAAGTGGGCAGTGGGAGCTGCCTGGCACGGACAGTGGGCCAACGCCTTCTGCAGGAGGGCCTGGATGTCCTGGTGCCGGCCTCGGGCCTCCTCCCACAGGTCCTGGCCCAGGCCGGTCCAGCGTAAGGAGGCCACCTGCAGCCCCATGGCAGTGAGCTTCTCCGCTGGGAACTCCGAGGCCAGTCGCTGCACATAGCGGTGGAGGCGTCGCTGGTCCCCCGGGCTCGCCCCAGGTGTCTTGCCCAGCCTGAGCTGGGCCATCAGGTCCTGACAGTCCATGTGGAACCAGGTCATCTGGGGATGAGAGAGAGGCAGAAGACTCAGGCAAGAGGGCAAGGATGTGCTTCTCTGAGCAGAGGGGCAAAAGCATGAAAATGAATTATTATCTCATTGAGGTGGTAACAAGTGACCAATTAATGCTAGGATCGTCTTTAGCTGACCCTCCAGCAAGTTTTCAGAGACTGTGAGTCACATGGAAGGAGATTGTCCATCTTTCTTCCCTGGAGCAACTAGTGGATTTGAACTACCTACCTTTGTGTTAGCAGTGCAACTCCTTACCCATGGATCACCAGAGCTCCTTGGATTTTCTTTTGTGGCCCTAATTTGCTCTGATATTGATAATGAGAACAGTAGTTTCCCTCCTTCCCTGGGCTAGATATACAGTCTCCAACACCCATAGAATCATCCAGAACCTTCTAATAGACCTATGGGCCCCAGGAAGGACTTATCCCTCTCTGGGACTCAGTTTCTCCTTCTGTCAAATGAGTAGTGGAATGCCTTCTGTCAAATGAGTAGTGGAATGAGAGCTGAAAATCTGGAATGTGGGCCTGAGCTGTGAGGGGAGTAGTGGGTGTCTGTCTTGCTTAAGGAGAACTGTGCACAAGGCGGGGCGCATCTTCTGTAGCAGCAGCCTATTTTACAGAGGAGGAAACTGAGGCTCAGAGAGGTGAAGCAACTTGCCCAAGGTCACACAGCAAGTCAAGGCTGAGCTGGTGCTTGAAGACAGATCACCTGGCCTTTGAGGTGGTGTCTTCCAAGCACCTCCTGGTGTCTGAGGATTTGGCCCAGGGTAAGGATATGAGCCCCCAACACACACCTGGCCCCATTTTGCAATTCTTCCTGTCCCCGCTTCACCCACAAAAAAAAGCCTGCAGGCTGCAAAGGACGCCAAGCGCGTCCCAGCCGCTCGTGAAAAACATAATCTCTCTCTCCATTAATTTAGGGCCCGACAGCGAGCTGTTAGGCTGCGGGGATCGGAGAACCATTTTCTCCGAGGAGGACCATCTTTCCGCGGATTAAGGGAACTTGTCTTTAGATAAATGGCTTCATATTCGCGGAAGCACACGGAGCTCATGGCCGGGAAAGGGCTCCATAAATCTCCGTTAGCGGCACAATCGTGTTATGATTATTTAGTGCCAAGGCTCCAGCACGCTCCCCACCCGGGCTCAGCCAGCCCCGGGCTGGGCAGGCCTGTCTGTGTGGGACCTTCTGGAAGCTGCCGCCAGGGATGGGTGGATCCTCGGAAATTCTTCTGCCCAACTCCTTGTATGGTTTAATGTTAGGGCCTTAGAGGAGATCTGCCCAGGTGCCTGCTGTTGGCAGAGGGGGACTCGTCCTCAGGAATGCTCCCTCCCACTGTTGGATGTGCTAGTTCCAGTCCCCACCCCGCTTCCTCCGTGCCCTCCTCAGCCACCCACAGCCCTCACTGAGCACCCTCTGTGAGCACAGGACACTGGGGACAGAGCCAGAGCAAGTCCAGCCAGGCCCTACCTCAGGGGCTCACCTCAGGGGCAAGGGGCCAAGAGACAGGCAATGAAGCAACAAGATCATTTTTTATCACAATGAGCCCCGTCAAGCCCTAGAAGGGGGCTGCTTTTACAAAGGGCAACTATCACTCTGAGGAGAGGATTTGTAAGCTAAAAGCTGAAGAAAGACAAAAGAAGAGCCGTTAGGGGAAGAGCTGAAGGAACAGCACCCGCGAAGGTCTCAGGGCTGAAACAAGCTTCGTGAATCTAGGTTGGATCAACGGGGAAGAAACTGAGTGCAATTGGGAGTGAAAGAGAAGCTTCTAGATGCTGTTAACCCTTAAGACATTATTATAACTATGTCAGCCTGGAGCCTCGGCACATCTGATCCAGACCATGGTCTTTGCAATTACTTGCTATGCCTCAGAAAGCTGGACGGAAGTAGAATTGATGCCTTTGAGCTGTGGTGCTGGAGAAGGGTATTGAATATACCATGGACTGCCAGGAGAACAAAAAGGTTCATCCTAGAGAGAATGAAACCAGGCTGCTCCTTAGAGGCAAGGACTCTGAGGCTTTGTCTGACATACTTTGGGCATGTTGTAAGGAGTGGCCAGTCCTTGGAGAGGGACGCCAAGCTTGGGAGGGTGGAGGGACAGCGCAAGAGAGGAAGACCCTCGATGAGATGGATTGACTCAATGACTGAGGTAATGGGGATAGGTGTGTCAGAGACAATAAGGTTGGCACAGGATAGAGCAGGGTTCAGAACTGTTGTATGTAGAGTTGCTGTGAGTCGCAAGTGACTCGACAGTACATAACAACAACAACATTAAGTTGTTTCAATAAGTGGGCCTGGAGAAATAGGATTTTCCTATGCAGAGGAATAAAATAATGTATGCTTCACAGCACACACAAAAATGGATTAAAGATCCAAATGTGAAAACTGGAATCATAAAGTTAGAAGAAAAGGCAGGGGTAATGTTACCAGGCCTAGCTTTTAACAGTGGGTTGTCCAATACAGTAGTAACAAAAGCACACATAGCAAAAGACAAAGTAATAAATGGGACTTTATAAAAATTAGGAAGTTTGTGTTCATCAAAAGATTTCACCAAAAAATAGTGGAAAGACAAGCTGTTGACTGAAATAACATCATGTGCCTTTAGGATTGTAGCACAGCCTCCTGCTATCAGAGCTCCCTACAACTACGTTACGGGCCAGCAATTCTACTCCTAGGTACATACGCAAAAGACTTGAAAGCAGAGACTTGAAATAAAAGACTTATATATAACAATGTTCATTGCCGCACTAACCAAAATAAACATGGAATAGCAATGGTGTCTCTCTGGAGACTAAGGTGCGTCTGATACAGGCCATGGTCTTTGCAATTACTTGTTATGCATCAGAGAGTTGGACAGTGACTAAGGAGGATAGAAGGAGAATTGATGCCTTTGAGCTGTGGTGCTGGAGAAGAGTATTGAGAATACCATGGACTGCCAAGAAAACAAACAGATTCATCCTGGAAAGGGTCAAACCAGGCAACTCCTTGGAGGCAAGGATTCTGAGGCTCCATCTAACATACTTTGGACATGTTGTAAGGAGGGACTGGTCCTTGGAGAGGGACATCATGCTTGGTAGGGTGGAGGGACGGTGCAGAAGGCGAAGACCCTCTCTGAGTTGGATTGATTCAGTGACTGGGGTAATCGTGATGGGTGTATCGGAGACGGTGCGATTGGCACAGGACAGAGCAGAGTTTAGGGCTGTTGTACATAGGGTCGCTATGAGTCGCAAGTGACTCAATGGCACATAACACCAACAACAACAACAGATATAACCTAAGTGCCCCTTGATGCACGAATGGATAACCCCAATATATATACAATGGGATACTACTCAGCCAGTACAGAGACACTAAACTTTATTAGTGGTTACCAGGGGCAGGAAAGAGGGAGAATAGAGTGGTGGTTAAAAATATTGGAAAATGGAATTAAGGACAGGGTTGCACAACTGATTATTGTCCTTTTTTGACAACAAGCTGTACCTCTGTAAAACGTTGAACTGGCAAGAGATGTGAGGTAGAGGGATATTTACAACAAGAATGAAAAATGAATAACTACTGAGGCTGTTTACATACTACCTCATACATCATGGACCTGGTTCCTGGTTTGGAGCTTTGGAGTCATCCCACTTAACTTGCCTAGTAACGGTGTTTAATGATCTCATCCTACCTCCTACTTTCTCGTGTGGTGCCTGGGATCTTAAAAGCTCGCAAAGCAACCATCCAAGGTACACTTGGTCTCTGTTTACCTGGAGCAACAAAAGGTAGGAGACTCAGGAACCAGAGGAGAAAACAGACTGTGTAGCTAATTGCCTCTGTGAATAACATTCTCTTTCACCGGGAGACCAGAAGAACTGGGTGGTACCCAGCTACCATTACTGAACATTTTGATATTCTCACAGACTCTAGACTTTCCGGAGCCATGGGGGCTGGATGAAGCCCCAAAAGTAATGCCTAGAACTAATGTTTAAAACTTAAACCAAAATATCCCATTAAGTCTTCTTCAAAACATTCGTTTGCTTGACTATTAAAAATGTCTGACCCCCCCAAAAAAAATGTCTGACCCATGCTCGCTTCGGCAGCACATATACTAAAACTGAAATGATACAGAGAAGATTAGCATGGCCCCTGCGCAAGGATAACACACAAATTCATGAACTGTACAGCTTAAAAAAAAATAATAATGTCTAACCCAAGCCACAGCATTTTGGATTTTTGGTGGTTGGTTTTGTTTTCTTTTAATTGCTTCTTAAGCATGCCAGATAAAGCTGGCCTCTGAATAAGGAAAACGAAGCAGAATCAGTGCTTTGGAACGGTGTGTCTATGGATAGTATTGCATGTGTTATGGGCTGTCAGAAGAACAAGCAGATCTCTCTGGGAGGAAGAATAACAGGATGCTCCTTAGAGGCAAAGATGGTGAAACTTCATCTCATAAACTCTGGGCAAATTGTCAGGAAGGGCCTGTCCTACGAACAAGGCATCATGCTTAGAACGGGAGAGGGTCAGTGTCACGGAAGAAGACCCTGGACGAGGTGGATTGACGCAGTGAGTACGACGTTCTTCAGTGTGACAGAAATCGTGAGGATGACGCAGATACGGCAGAGTTTGTATCACTAGGAGGTGTATTTGAATTACACCTAGCAGCGACATTTGAAAATGTCTACCTTGAGTATTATCTTTCCCCCGCAAAAAGTTATCTGTATAGGATCAAAACGGCAAGAGCAACTCAAAAGGTTAAATTAGAAACTTTAGGAGTTTAGGAGTTTTTACTAATAGAGAAGGAACTACACAGAAAAGGTGGAGCTCTGGTGGCCTAGTGGCAAGAAGCTGCACTGAAATCCCAAAGGCACAAGGTTCGGATCCACCAGCTGCTCAGCGAGAAAAGGATGGGCAGTCTCCTCCTGTGCGATTAACTGTCTCTGAAAATCCACTGGAGGGTCGGCTGTGGGTCGGTTCCAACATGATGATACACAACAACAACACAGCAACAACAACCCAGAAAAGGAGGGCAAGAATAGTTGTACAACCCAAAGAATGTATTCAATGTTACTGAATTGTACATTTCTTAGTTTTGGTCAAAGTTTTGCTGTGCATATCCTTACACAACAGCAAATAAAAGGATTTTAAAAATCAGACTGCAAGCTTAAGAAATGTGATGGACGCTAACTCTGTCAGCCACGGCAGATTAGTACTGTTGTTAATAGTTACTCTACTTTTGTGAAAACAAGTAATCCCTGTGCAATAACTGGGGGTGAGGGAGGAGAAGAATATAACATGTGTACAATGTATAAAGAAGTTGTTGAACAAGAACCTATTTTAAATGTACATTTTCACCAAAAAGATAAGAAAATATTATTTAAAAGCAATAGTGTCATAATTCACACAATGAAATACTACACAGCACACAGGAGCAATGATTTTGTAAATTATTCCCTAACTTGGAAGGGACTGGAGAGCATTATGCCGAGTGAACGAACTCAATCCCACAAGGAGAAATATTGTATAAAACCATTACTGTAAGGCAACCATTGACTTGTTTTCATCAATAAAATTAGTAAGTATTTTGTATAAATTGAGTCATATGCTGTGCATTCTTTTGGGAGGGAGACTGTTCTTGCTTTTTTCACTCCGCATAAACATTTTTAAATTCATCTCCATTGAGTATATCAATGGTTTCTTTCTTACTATTGCTAAATACTATTATATTACTATTGCTAAAATATATTCCAATGTCTATATCTACAAAATTTTGTTAATTTATCTATTGATGGACATATGCATTGTTTCAAGTGTTTGTTGTTGTTGTTGTTTAATGCCGTCGAGTCGTAGACGACTCATAGCGACCCTATGAACGAACAGCCTGAGCACTGTTCGTACATAGAGTTTCCGGAGGCAAGCCATTTTGGAAGTGGATGCCGCTCCTGTTTCAAGTGTTTAGCTATTAAAAATAAAGCTACTTTGAAAAATTGGAAAAAAAACCCCACAAACAAATAAACAAACAAACAAAAAACCCCATTATTGTAGAATGAGTGTAAGGATCCAAGGCGGGGGGAGGGAGGAAGCAGAGGGATGAAGATGTGCAGGGGGAGGGAGGATTAATCATGGGGTTGTACAATTTGATGGGGGGGGGGAGTGAGGAAAATGGGAAGAATCTGTTCCAGAAAATAATGTATTTGAATTCTGTAAATAAACTAGTATTTAAAAAAAATAGTGTCAGTGTTAGGTTCCCTTGAGTCGAGTAAGACTCATAGCGACCCTATAAACAACAGACCTGAACCCTGTCCTGTCCTGTGCTATCCTCCTCATCTCTGAAACACTTGAGCCCACTGCTGCTGTCACTGTGTCAACCCATCTCATTGGGGGTCTTCTCTTTCACTGACCCTCCACCCTTCCAAGCATGATATCCTTTTCCAAGGAAAAGCCTCTCTCCTAGCAATGTGTCCTAGGAATGAGAGATGAAGCTTTGGCATCCTTGCCTCCAAAGAGCACTCCGGTTTGCCTCATTTCCAAGATACATTTATTTGTTCTTTTGGGTCCCAGACCTGAGTCCACCTCTGAAGCACCTTGTGCTTTCTGTGTGCTGAGCCAGCCTGAGGCTGGAGACAGCCTCTTCCCACACAAAGAACCTAATCACATAATCAAATCATCTTCGTTAACCTCATCATCATTTTCATGTCTGACTGGAAATTAAAATCTGGTGCCACTTTCTCATCTCTGGAGATGGTGGCAAGGCATGTACTGTAACACGGACACTTCTGTGTTCTCACCCAGCTTCTCTCTCCACCTCTAGGGTCTCAGGCAAGGTCCTCCTCTCTCTGGGCCTTAGTTTCCTCATCTGTAAAATGGGGCCAGTCAGCCTTGTTGAATGGAATTGCCAGAAGATGACAGATATGGAATACAGGCATACCACAATGAGATGACTATCACAATAAAGGAAGCTGTGTGAAGCTGTGTGACTTTTTTCATTTCCCAGGGCATACAGAAGTTGTGTTTGTACTGTACTGCAATCTATTACAGACTATGAATAGGTTAAGTGCTGGGCTGTTAATGGAAAGGTCAGCAGTTAAAAATCCACCAGCAGGTCCTCGGGAGAAACATGAAGCAGTCTACTCTCTCAAGAGTTAAGATTTACAGCCTCAGACACCCAGAGAATCACCCTGAGGCAGAATCAACTCAAGTGCAGCGGATCCGATTTGAGTTCAGCAGGCTATCAAGTCGGAAGTGTGAGAATTACCAAAAAATGTGCCAAAGAGATGTGAGGGGAGCACATGCTATTGAAAAAATGGTACTGAGACCGGCACAATCAATCAGGAAGGCCCTAGAGAGCTTCAATGTGTAAAAAAGCTCACAACGTCTGGATACTGTTGTTGTTTCCTTCTGTCAAGCTGGAGCCCGCTCCTAGCTGACCCTCCTGCACGTTTTCAGAGGCTATAAATCACATGTGAGATTAGCCATCTTTCTCCTGAAGAGCTGCTAGTGGATTTGAACCAGATGCCTTTGGGTTGGCAGTGCAACTCCTTAGCACTAGGCCACCAGAAGTGCAATAAAATGAGATATACCTGCAATGCGAGGTCTTCTTCCTTCACACCCCAACACCTACCTCCTTCCCAGTCCCCACAGACAGTAGGCACACTCCCTTCTCTTCTGACCACAGGAGAAGCTTCTCACTGAGGTTTCTGATCTGAAGGTGCTCAGAGCAACCTTCGGGCCCCACCCTCAGCCAGCCAGCCCCTAGCTCCTGCACTTTGTTCAGGAGACAGAGAAAAGAGCACTGGAACAGGAGTGCGCCACTGGCTTGCTGCGTGACACCGACTTGGTGTGGGGCCTTCTCTGATCCTGTTTCCCTAACTGCAGAGGAAGAGTGAGAATTCCTAGTCCTTATCCTGGGGTGGTCCTGGCCTCTGACTCTGCCTGTAGAGATCTGTGTGTGAGAGAGAGAGATTGTTGGGGGCTTTAAAGGACTTTTGGAAAGGCTCTGGATGCTGCCCCATCTGAAAGGTCACAAGGAGGTGGTCCTGTGGTCTTTGGAGAGCATTCTGGCCACTATAAGGCTGCCTGCTGTGATGAGACAAGCTGGGGTCAGGGGTCAGCCAGACTTGCTTTAGGAGGGTCATTTTTCCTTCTGGAACATCAGGGTCATATCCCCTCCTGGGACTGTGGTGGATCGTGCACTGGGCCAAGGCTCCTGCCTGCCCTGCACCTGCCCGGATCTGGGCAGGCGAGGGCCACCTGCCCTCACCCACTCACCCCCCACCCCACCCCCGCCCCCTGCTTGTCCCGAGCCTACCCGGATCTGGGTAGATGCCTCTGGATCTGGGCAGGTGAGGCCCCTGCCCGCCCCACTCTGCCCGGGTCTGGGTAGATAAGGCCCCGGGATCTGGAAGGCTGAGGCCCCCTCCTGTCCCTCATCTGCTTGGATCTGGGCAGGTGAGGTGCACACAGGGCTTACCTTCTTGCAGAAGCGGTGCAGGTGAAGCAGTGTCTCCAGGTCTGTGCGCTGTCGCTCTGCCGCCATGTAGAAGTGGGTCAGCTTAGCCTGGAAGGTCCGCTGGGTGGAGGCAAAGGCCACCATCTCCGGGGCCCCTGCTCCACCCAGCTCACCGGCTCCTCCAGCTGCAGCCTCCAGCTGGGCCGCCTGCTTGGACAGCTCTAGGCCACGGCGGTACTGCGCCTGCACCGGAGAGAGGGCCAGGGCCTATGATCAGCTCCCACCTGGGCGGCCTCTCCCAGTGGCCAGGCACCTCCCAACCTCCCAGGAGACAGACTTCCTGAGCACACTGTCCTCATCTATACAGGGGTCCCTAAGAGGAGCCCACCCACTGGGGCTTTAGGGGAAAGCCCACTTCTGATTATCAATCTTTGAAAACCCTGACAGACGAGGCCACAACTGGATAACAGCTGGGTGGCTGGTCCCCTCACCGTCCTGGGAGTTCTCTGAGGGGTGCTGAATCACTCTGTGCCCAGGGCCCAACATTTCCCCTCCCTGCTCACAAGGGCTGATTCAGGAGGTCTCAACAACAAGCTCACTGCCATGGCATCACCACCGACTCATAGCTGACCTTTCAGAGGTAAATCACATGCTCATCTTTCTCCCTCGAAGCAGCTAGTGGATTCAAACCACTTGCCCTCGGGTTGACAGTGTGACTCCTTAACCGCTGGGCCACCAGAGCTTCCTTAGGAAGTCGGTGGTTTTACTGCCATCAAGTTGGAACTGACTCGTCGCTGCCCCTCCAGTGGGTTTTTGAGACTGTAAATCACGTGGGAGAAGATGACCTATCTTTCTCCCACTTAGCTTTTAGAGGTCTGTTATAAATCGTTGTGCAGTTGGTTGGATTCATGGTGACCCCCAAGGGTATGAAGTAGAACTGTGATCTGTGGTCTTAAGGAAACAGATCAATAGGACTTTGTTCTGAGGAGCCTCTGGGTGGGCGTGAACTGACAACCTTTTACCTAGTTGAGTGCTTACCCATTTCTGCTCCCCACTCCTCCCTGGGCCTCTAAGTCTAAGGCAGGCCCATGGAAATCGTATTTTAAGAAACCCTCTAGAGTATTCTGAGGCAGGCAGTCTTCAGACTCATTTGGGAAGGCCTCCTGGAGGACAGAACATCTAAACTGAACCCTTTGTGGTGGGAGTGGCTTTCTCACAGTCTCTGGAAGTCTTGTACTTTCTCACCTTTACCTGACCTCTCATTCCCCTTGCTTATCTACTAAGGTCCCCTCTGTGCGCTCAGCCCTGGGGCTCAGTTGTTTGGAACACACCGCTGCCTGAAGGAAGAATTCCTCAAACTCAGTGTGGGCTTTTTCCACTGTCTCCAAGCTTCCATCCCTCGGGGTCAGTGCTTGCAGACACCGGCTTCCTTCTTGCTCCATCCAGTCGCTGACCTGAGGCAGGGAAAGGAGGCCTGGGTGTGGCAGGCTGCTGGGAACACACCCCTTCCCCCAGCTCTCCTGTTTCCTTAGAGGACATTCAGGAGCTTGGCCTGTGACCATTGGCCTGGACTGAAACTTCTCCAAATTTGGGCAGGAGATAAAACCTCATGGGAAGAGGACCCCTGAATGGAATCCCAGAGGGCATCTCTGGGCTGGCCCAGGGCACACTCGCCTGTATGATGTCACTGGATGACATATTTCAGCTTATTCTAACCTTTCGGTGCTGCCCAGCCATAAAAGGGGCTGACTCAAGGGTGGTGAGCTGCCCATCTCTGGAGGCATGCAAGCAGCTGTGGAGGGAAAGCTACATTCTTGGAGTAAAGTTCATGGGCCAGCCTTACACCAGCTGTGGGAACTGGCAAATCACTCCTCATCCTGGGCCTAATTTACTCAGTGGCCAAATGAGGCTCGCCATGGAGAGTCAACGAGCAGCCAATGACCCAAAATGGTGCTTGATCCCAGGAGCCGAAGTCCCCTTCCTATTCTGGGGTCGCTTACATTACTACCCTATTAGATAACTTTTCTTTACAAAACTTAACATAGTTAGTGTCATGACCATTTTACAGATGAGAAAACTGAGGCACTGAAGAGTTAAATAAATTTCTCTAGAATCACACCACTGTGTAAGTGGTAGAATCAGGTTTGGAATTGGGCCATCAGGCTCCCGAGTCCTCACCACCCCATGCCTGTGACCACTGTACCCCTATTCCCAAACCTGAAGGAAGGAGGTGGGTCTATGCACGAGCAGATGGACCAAGTAGTGTCAAGTGTGGGATTCACGGTCAGACGCCCAAGTATGCCACTTAAGCAGGTGATGTCCTGTCTCCCAACTTTGGTTTCTTCAATATGTATGGTGGGAAAGTTGTCACACATAACCACGTCAACAATAGATGAGGTCAGAAAGCAACAACACAAAGGGTCCAGCCTAAGTAAGGCCTGGTATTCAGTTAGTGCTGCTCTTGGGTTTGTGTCTTTACCCAGCAAGCACTTAGTGAGAGCCACATCATGTGGCGTCTCCACCAATCCGTCTGGTTGTCCTTAGCTACGTCTGGGTCCCCAACAGCATCTGGCTTAGTGATCCGTCTCCTCTGTCCCTTATATGCTGTATAAAGGCAGGCCTGAAAAAAATCTTGGCAGTATGAAACTATTCTTAGAGGCAAAGTGCTGAATAAATGTGTGTGTGTGTGTGTGTGTGTGTGTGAGCATTTGATGGAGCTTCCCGATTAGAACAAGCTTGGAAGCAGGAGTGACATCCACTTCCGAAATGGCTTGCCTCCAGAAACTCAATGAACACTGCTCAGGTCTTTCGTTCATAGGGTCGCTATGAGTCATCTATGACTCTACAGCACTTAACAACAACAACAACAACAACATCATTTGACATATCCCAAAGATGGCTGTCTGCCCCTTGAAGGATCCCAGGGCAAACTTCCTGGCTGGGATAGTCTCTGTGGGGGGCAGCCACACCCCGCCACACACCTGATGGATAGCGGCCTCCAGCCGGCCCAGGCGCACTCGGAGCTCCAGTTTCCCCAGGAGGTGGTTGGAGGCGGTGACCAAGACATGCAGCTGCTCCTCCACGAGGCCATACAGGGCAGCGGCTTCAGCCAGGTGGCCCCTGGGAGGCAGACAGAGGTGGTAAGAGAGGACCCAGGACCCCACTCTGGCTCAGCATAAGCTATTGACCCACAAGTCCCACCAACTCTCTGGGTCGCTCCACCCTGGGTATTTCATTTACCAACTTGCTGTGTGATCTCAGAGAGGGCTCTATCCCTCTCTGGACCTCAGCCTCCCATGGGACTGGGAGGACTAGAGGACACACAGGAAATGAGGTAACCCCCTCCCTTCCCTACCAAACCCCAACTCGCAGCCTTTGGATCCATTCTGACTCAGCCCAACCCTCGATGGTGTCTCCAGGGCTGGAAATCTTTATAGACCTAGACTACTTATCTTTCTCCTGAGGAATTGCTGGTGGATTTGAACTGATGGCCTTTTGATTAGCACTATACCACCAGAGCCCCTCTCTCCTTCCTCTCTTTGCTGTTAGGCACCTTTGAGTTGATGCCAGTTCTAGCAACTCTGTGTTCAACAGGTCAAAGCCAAGCCCAATCCCTCTGTGACACAGCCTGGGGCTGAGGGCTTACTAAAGCTTCACAGTCGTCCCAGGGTGCAGCCAGGGTGATGGCAGCCCTCCCACCGTGCACAAGATACTCAGCCCAGCTCCCACCAGATGGACAGTGTGTGCATGCATGGCGTTTATCGGTGCTTCTTGTCCCTATCATGATGATGGTTTTCCTGGAGGTAGCCTCGCCAGATAGCCGGAGCTCTGTATCTGATCAGGATCACTTCTCCAGGGGAGGGGGGAGATCCTGGGGTGCCTGAACAGGATGGAAAACTCCAGGCTGCCTGGCAGAGGGAGGCAAGGAGGGGGACGAAATGGCAGGAGCTGCAGGGGACCTTCTGCAGAAAGACACTCTGGGAGGCTAGTGTGTGGCCACAGCGACCCCTGGTGGAACTTCTGGGAGGCCAGGGATCTGGGGGGTCCAGGGTGGACAGGAAGGGTCTGGGATAAGCCTGTGAAGCCGAGAATGCCGGAAAAGACAAAGCCTGCTCCATAAGGCAGAGTGAGGGCCAGGGAGATGACTTCACACCCAACACATGGACCCCTGCTTTCAACCTTCAATCTGAGTGGCTGTAACATCGCTCAGGATGGAGTGTTCAAAATTCCGGAGTCATGTTGCCTGGGTCCAAGTGGTGGCTCAGTCTCATTCCAGCTTTGTGATCTTGAGCAAGTCATTTAGCTTCTCACTGAGCCTCAAGTCTTCCCACTATAATATGAGGATAATGCTAAGATCTATCTTATGAATGGGAATCAAACAATACTTGTTAAAGCCTTGAGGGAAGGCACTGGGCATTAAACAAACAAGCAAATAAATAGGTGCTGGTGAACTGGCACTGACTCATGGCACCCCCAAATACTGCAGAGCAGAACCGTGTTCCACAGGGCTTTCAAGGCTGTTATTGCCAGACCTTTCTTCCAACGTGCCTCTGGATGGATCTAAACCCTCAACCTTTAAGTTAGTGGTAGAGCACTTAACGGCTTGCTCTACCCAGGAGTATTAGCATTGCACAAACTAAGTGACACTTGCTATTGGGTGATTGCCGTCGAGTTAAGGTCAATTCATAGCGACTCTATGAAGAAAAGACCTAATGCCTTTGCATAGCTATCATTGTTTCTCCAAGTTCATAGAGTTTCCAGAAGCATGTGATTTAGGAAGTGGATGCCACTCCTACTTCCAAACCTGTTTTGCAACTGGGAGCTCCACCAGACACTGTCCACAAATGGGAAACCATTCTGGTATTTGATATCCCCACGGCACAAGGTTCAGCATCATAGCAAACCCAGGTTACCTCATACATTGACAAAGAGTCATGTGCAAAGTAGAAGAATGTTTCTCCAGATATAACAGCACTAATCTCATTTAGCAGTGGGTAAGTGTTGTTGAGTAAAATATGACTCAGAGTAAGCTTTGCACAAAAGACCTGAACTCTGTTCTATGATTAATATAATTTCTGTTCTATGATTTACATAATTTCTGTACATTTATAAGAGTTTATAAAAGTGCTGTTAAATCAACCAATTGTTCTTAAAAGCTTATGCAAAGGGAGCTCTGGTGGCCTAGTGGCAAGAAGCTGCACTGCAATCCCAGAGGTGCACAGTTCAAATCCACCAGATGCACTGCTGGAGAAGGAGGGGCAATCTCCCCCTGTACCAGTCAGATCCAATTTGATGGTATACACACACACAAAAATGGTAAAAGAAAGTAAATGTTTTTTAAAAAAAGCTTATGCAAGCTTTCATTTAGTTCTTAAATATAAGTAAGAAGATTTGTTCTAATAGAAACTAAATAGCTGTAATAGCTTGCCAGTTTAATAACTGATTTTTCCCCACCCAAATCTCCCTAAATTAAAAGAAGTCCAGGAATTTAGATTATTTTCTCTGTGTTTCAGGGACCCCAGCACACTGTGGGGCTCTCCCAGCCTGGCTGAGGAAGCGGAGGGCAGCGTAGGGGTTAAGTGCTCAGACGGTCTAGTTCAGATCCCAGTTTGACCATTTCCTAGCTGCTGTTTATGTCACTGGACCTCTGTTACCCATCAGTCGTCGATTCCAGCCAGCTTCATGGGGCTCTTGAGAAATAAGTGAGCCAGGAAGGGCCCTGCCGACTATCTGAGTCAGGGAAAGTATATGGAATGACCAGAAACAGCCAGGAGCTGTCTTTGAGGTCAATTCCCAGTTAAAGATGGCGAGGACTGAAGGAGAGGAGCAGAGAGGTGAAAACAAAGTGGTCAAGACCCAGGGGGGTCCTTTGACTAGACCTGTGCCCTAGGACGTCCCCTGTGAGCACCCATGTCCCGGGCACCCTCAGGATTCTCTCTCTATGTATATCTTTGGGGGTTGGTCAAAGCTCTGAGCACCTTGCAGCACAGGACAAGAGTCGGGTCAGGGAGGAGAGGCACAGGTAGGCACAGGTGTTCATACCTGACGTCGGGGTTGAAGTTCAGCCTGCCAGCCTCCCACTGAAGCCTGGCCAGGATGGCTCCACCTTCCCGCTGGAGGCCCAGCAGGCCTGGATCCCTCAGCACAGTCTCCATCAGCTCCTTGGACTTGTTCAGGTATCTGACAGCCTCCTACCAGAGAGAAGACGCAGTCTAAGGTCCAAACCCAGGCCCCTTCAACAACACTCCAGGCCTCCTCATACACAGATCAAGCCTGACTTCCCTGGCATGGCATTCAAAGTCCTCCAGAAAGTCTGTCTTTCCTAGCTCTACAACATCTCAAGTCCTGCCATCCTCTTATCACCATGGCAACATATGTGGGCCTTGGTCCTTCATGTCCTCCTCACCTCTTCACTGAGCTCCTTGTTGCTCTCTGGCTCCCCCTACAGTCTACTTGCCACATCACTGTTGGCTGGGCCTCAAAACACAAATCTCTGATGGTGTCACACCCCTGCTCACAACCTCCAGTGACTCTGGTTTAGAATCAAATCCCACACAACTCTTCCTTGAGACTACCACTAACAATTTTTAAATTCTTCTTTTCTTCTTTCCTTGCCAATTTCAGTCTTCTCCACACTGGTCTTGCTATTGATTCCTGAACACACCAAACACAAACTCACCTCAAGGCCTTTACAAAATGAGGTTTGGCCTCAATATGGTGGCAGCTTCCTTTCTGCCCTGCAGACCTGCCCTGAAATTCTACAGGCTGCTTAAATCCAATCCCTTCCCCCACTGTTCTCAGTCTTACTTTCATAGTTACATTTTCTGGTTCATTTGTTTGATTGTCTAACAACTGTCTCTGCTGTCGTTCCGTGAGCTGTCTGAAGACAGAAATGAAGCCCGATGACTCAGGTTGGGTTTCCTGTTTGGAATCTAGTAAGTACCAGTCAAATGAATGAGTGTAGAACAGGAATGGTGGTGTCCACCCTGGAAGCCCCCTTTCATGAGCTCTTGAGCTCTCTGCGTGTGACTTTACCCACTTTCTGCTCCAGGCTTACCTGCAACCCCCCAGGAGGGTCATCTTTCTCGAACTCCTTGATGGATGATCTCAGCAGGGAGGAGGCCTGGCGGAGGTCAGCAAGGAAAGGGTCCAGCTTCTACAGGACAGAGGGCGGGGGTGGGGGTCAGCGTGGAGGAGCGGGAGGATGCGTTTCCCTACCAAGGAGGACTCAGTACACATGTTAGGCAGTGCTTCTCACACTTCAGCCGCTCCCTTCAGTATCTGGTTCAGGCCCTAATAATCCATGCTTCTAAGTTGCTGCTGTAGAACCAGCAGTGTTGGGATTGGGACAAAAGGGGAAGAAGACACTACTTCTAGGTGGGTGCAAACATTTTGAGGGGGAGAGGATAAGAAGGGTGAAGGGGGCAGAATTATGGGGCATCCCTCGCTAGGTCTCTCCAGCCCAGCTCCACCACCTCCTGGCTGTGAGGCCTCAGGTGGCTGTGAGGCCTCAGGGAGGGAACCTAGCCTCTCTGTGCCTCCTCTCTATGCTCCACAGAATGAGGATCATTGTAGTTCCTGTGCCGGAGTCACGTGAGAATGAAATGGCTTCGTTTGTGAAGCTCTTCAGACCGTGCCCAGCACACAGTGTTGGCCGCTGTGTCATGATCAGCTTTGTGCTCTGGGTTTGCGAGTAAGATATCATTTGAAGGAAAGGTTTTACAACCAAATTATCATTCCTAAGCTGCTGAATTAATGTGATGCCTCTGCAGAGGCAACCTGAAGGTTTGGAGGGACAGTTAGGAAAAAGATTTTTCACTATACACATACTTGTGTTCCGATTGCTTTGGGAAAGAATACTTATACAAAGTGGAAACAATTTAAGAAAAACGAAGATAAACACCTCCCTAGACAAAAAGCAAATCAACACACCACCATGTATCAGGCCAATGGTTCTCAAGGGGGGCACTTGGCGGTGCCAGATATTGGTTTTGGTTGCTGCCACTAGAGGGCGCTGCCATCATATACAGGGAGAGGTCAGGGAGGCTGCAAAACAGGCTGCAGTGACCTCCTCTCCCACCAGAGTCCCCAGAACGTGAATAATGTTGAGACTGGGCACCTCTGATAAAGGGACAGCCCTGGACAGGCAGATGCGTGCTGGGCTCAGCCTCATTTACGTCTGTCATCTTCCATGAGCTACTTCTCAAGTCACCTCTGTGTGCTCCTCCTGTATTAAATTGAGCATGAAATATCCCACTCGGGGTTGCAAGGAGGAAGGATAGAACTCATGTGGGTAAGCAGCCTTGGCAACTCCCTTGTTTCCTCCCTCAGACAGAGGGACCACATCTGCCTCCTCCATCAGACCCCTGAGCTCCACAGAGTCAATGCCTGGAAATTTAACTTCCTATTAACACTGACACACTTCAGTATGCACCAGATACTCTGCTAAATTATTTATCCAAATTAACTCAATGCATCTTCCGTGAAGAGGCACTCTTATCAGCCTCCTTTTACAGATTAGGAAACCAGGGCTCAACGGAGGTGAGTAAACTTACCAATGGTCACACAGCTGACCTGGGATCGGAGCCTGGGCAACCTGGCCCCAGAATCTGAGATCTTTATCATTCCACTCTGTATCCTCTTGATAAATGTTTGTTGAGTAACTATCTTTTTAGCTTGATTGTTATGGGGCAGGATAGTGAAGGGAGAAAAAGAGGGGTGAGAGTCCAGAGTTAGAGGTTGTAATGGTAGACACCTGGAAAAATTGCACCCACTCGCTGTGGCAGTAAGGGAAGGAGCCTTCCAGAGTTGTGGGTAACTGGCTTGGGTCCACATGGTGGCCGAGGGCCTTCATTGAGGTCAGCACCTCCACCTGCAGAAAGGGAGAATCAGGACTCAGTACTTGAGACAGTCCTGCCCTGATCCCTGCTCTAGCACCATTCAATTCCCATAGCTGAGGCCAGTCTCCGGATTTAAAAGTTGGTTTCTGGAAAGCCTAGCTTTTCTCTGGGAGCCCTGACAAATAAAAATTCAGAGCCAGACGCTGGTTAAGGAATGTCAAATAAATAGCGTTTAGACTGTTGCTGTCTTCGCCTGTGCCCAAGGCAGGCATCATTAATCAATCACAGCACATGTTCCCTCTGAGCTGAGCTCTTTCTCAGCACAGCTCTCCAGGTAATCACACAAGTTGATTGAAGTTGGCCCTAGTGATGAATCCTCTTTGCAATCTTTGCCCTGTTCTCTGGTGATGTACCAATGTGCTGTCTCTTTCTTGGGGCTGATAGGAGAGGTTACTAACTTCTTCTAGCGCCCCTCAAGACATGGACTGGGTGACTGCATCCCGTATTTATGTTTAGGGTTGGGTCAACTTTGTGTATGATTGTTTAACCACCTTCAATCCCTCCTTCTCAAGTGTGATTCCTAGACTAGCAGCCGCCCTGCCACATACAGCCTGTTGTTAATAATTGTCATAAAGCTGGTTCCAATTTGTAGTAACGCTATGTAAAGGAGAACAAATCCCTGTCCAACCCATCTACCCTCACAGGGCCCGCTGTATGTAAGCCATTGCGGCAGCCGCTGTGTCAATTTATCACATCAAGGGTCTTCCTCTCTTTTTCGGATTTTCTATTTCGCAAGCAAGATGTTCTTTCCAAGGGCTGACCCCTCTTGATGACATGCCAAAGAATGTCTGATAAAGTCCCACCATCCTTGCTTCTAAAGAGCAATCTAGCTCCATGTCTCCCAAGACAGATTTGTTCATGATATATAATCAGAACTCCTCACTGACACCACAATTCCAAGGCACCAATTCTTCGGTCTTCCTTATTCATTGTCCAACTTTCACAGGCATACGAAGCAACTGAAAACACCACGGCTTAGGTCAGACACACCTTAGTCTTTAAGGCTATGCTCTTGCTCTTTAGCACTTTAAGGAGATCTCTGGCAGCAGGTTTGTCTAGTGCAACCTGTCGTCTGATAGCTTGCCTGCTGCTCCCATGGGTGGGAATACAGAATCCCAGACCACAAGGTAAACTTGCACTTTAATGAGCTCCCCAAAGTCACTGGTAGACATGCTGGAGTTTCTGAAGCAGGCACCTCGTTTGCCGAGTGCCTATTTATGAACCAGGAAGAAGGTCTTTTAAATCACCTCCTGAGGCAGAGCAGAGGGCCGGTGTCTGTGTTCATTAGGGTGGTATATGGCACTAATTAAAGGGAACTGCAGGGTTCTTGCCTACAAAGTCCTGACAGAACTGAGCATCGATATTAATTAGGGAGAGAAATACAGGCAGAGCAGGGCAGTAGTGGGGAAAAGGCGCTGGGCTGTGAGTCTGGGGAACCCTGCTCTTGCCGTGTACCTCAATGTCCCCATCTCAAAAGAAAGAAGGGCAGAGTACCAGATGAAGCTTCCAAGAGGACTTAGGACCGACCATGTGCAACTCTCAGTTATATAGAAGCAGACAGTACCCACATTTATTGACCCGAACTAGTTGATTTGAAGACCTCTTTTAGCTCATAAATGCCGCAATTCTCTATCCCCATTACTGGAGCACAGTTCAAGCCCAGCCCCCGCCTCCACTACGTTGCCCTCCAGCCTGCACCTCACCTGGATGCCAGGTAGCGTCTCCAGCTGGAGAGCAGCTGCCTTCTCCCCCAGGAAGAGCAGAGCCTGGATGGAGGCTGGGACCAAGACCTGCCAGGGACAGCCATTTTTGTGAGTCATTCTGACCAAGCTCTCAATGAACTTCCCAGCCCCTGGTTTCTTCCTCCTTCCTCCTCTAGGAAATAGGTAACTGGGCCACTGAGAAAGGTGGGTAGGGCTCTCCATGGCTGGGCCCTTTGTGTGAGACCTTTATGGGTAAGTCTTTAGAAAGGAAGCGAGCTATGGGTCTGAGCCATGTTGCAAGTTTCCTGGACGGTCCTCCTGTGAGCCTTGAATCTCCAGCTACAAAGTATATGCTAACCTTCCATTTACAGTGTTGCTTCATGAGAATATCTTGGCCTCTCCATTCTCAGTCCCCAAGGTTCACATGACTTAAGTCTAAGCCAATGAGTGTGTTACATTCCCCGGGCCACACAGATTCATTGAGGAACAGAAATCACAGCAAATAAAACACCAGGAACTTTCACTAGCTTCTCTGAGCATATCACAGTCTTTCCTGCTGAATTTAAGTAAGAGATCATGGGAAGCTGGAGGCTCCCACCCTGGGGAGGGGGTGTCACCCTCCCACTAAGTGGGTGTCTGGGTGGGAATAGCATCCTCCTACGAGATGGTCCAGAAACGGATAGAGAAGCCAGGTTCTGGTGACGGGAGCCCCTGGATCAAGCCAGATTTGAAACTAACTTAACTCCTGTTCAGTTACATGTGCCAACAAACCACTGTCTTTAAGCCTGTTTTTCCTCAACTTCCTGCTCGTTGAAACCAAAAGTCCCAGCTAGGTATTGTCCAGGTCCCTGGGGTTCCTGGTCCCAGGTCCAAACCCTCTGCCTGTAAGAATGTCAGGAGACTTCTGGTGGGACCTACACCTTGCTTGGTTGGGACCCTCCCCCTCCTACTCACCTGGGTGGCCTGGAGGGCACTGATGAGAGTTGGGTGTGGAGGCTGTTTCCTGGCATCAATCATGACCACCAGCCCCTTGGTTTTCGTATCAGACCTGTGAGTGGCAAAGAGATGTGCATTCTTAGTGGGCGGACTGCAGACTGTCTGGAGGAGGGCTTAGTGAGGGGCTCCAGCTGCCAAAAAATCTTGGATCTACTGGTAAACTCTTCATCCTGCAAGATCAGTCTCTAACAATCTCTCACCTCCAGGAAGCCCTCCGTGATTCTTCTCCAGGCAGAGTCTACAGCCCCCTCCTTGGGCTCCCATAGTACTTTATACAGTGTCCTTTACAGCCCTGGTAAACACAGCCATGGCCACTTGTCTCTGTTGTGGTGGGACATCTAGCACCACTTAGCTTTTTTGCTTGAGCAGAGCATCTCTTTTGTCAAAGAAACCACCTTCCTCCATACAGTCTCCAGGAGTGTCTGATGGGATTAATCGAGACCAAACCAATTTCTACGGAAATGATTGTGACTCACAACAACAGCACGTGTTTCAGAGCAGAATTGTGCTCTCCAAGGTTTCCTTTTGGAAGTAGATGGCCAAGCCTGTCTTCTGAGGCGACTCGGGGTGGCCTTGAACCACCAACTTTGCAGTTAGTGGCCGAGCACTTAAACATTTATGCCACCTGGGGCCATTCCTCATTTATGTAACAGGCATTCAAATGCTTGCTAACTGTCCTAGAGAGGACCCATACTCCTCTGTCAACTCGTGACACTGTGGTGGCTTTTGTGTTGCTGTGACATTGACAGTAGCTATATGTCACTGATATTTCAAATAGCAGCAGGGTCACCAGCCCATAGTGGACTGATTTCAACAGAGCATCCAGACTAAGACTAGAAAGAAGGACATGGCGGTCTACTTTGGAAAAGAATTGCCCATGAAACCTGAAGAAGAGCAGCAGAGGGAACACTGGGTCATGCAGTGTGGGAGGATGACCCTTCAGCCTGCAAGGTGCTCAAACCATGACAGGGGAAGAGCTGCCACCTCAAAGCTGAGCTGACCTTGGCTTCAGGACCTTTACTTCAGGTGTTGATACGACCCAACTCAAATGAGAGAAACAGCTGGAAACATCGAGTGGATACAGCAGGAAAACTGGAAATCAAAAGTGAAACGGGCTGCAACTACAATCCCAGAGGCGCACGGTTCCAATCCACCAGATGCTCTGTCGGGGAAGGAGGGACAATCTCCTCCTGTACCAGTCAGATCTGATTTGACGGTACACTCACACAAAAATAAGAAAATGAAAAAAAAGTGAAATGGAATGCATAAAGATCTACACCCTAACCATCTGAGATGGACTGAGTTTTGGCCGTTTTGAATCAGATAATCGTGTGGTCTACTATGCCAGGTGAGAAACTGAAGAGGAATGACAGCACATTAGTAGTCAAAAAGAGCATCTCAAGATCTAGCTTCAAGTACAAAACTGTTCGTGAAAGGAATATTACCTCTGCGCCTACAAGGAAGACCGGTTAATAGAATATTATTCAAATTTATGCAACAATCATTGATGCCAAAGGAGACATTCAAGATTTTTACCAACTTCTGCACTCTGAAACTGATCAAACATCCAAGCAAGAGACTCATTGGTAAGTTTGCTGTCGTTGTTTTGTTGTCGTTGTTAGGTGCAATCGAGTTGCCTGCTGGTGATTAAATGGGAAACAAGGAATTGGCAGTTGAAAAATAATGCCTAGGTAGAGAAATGACCTCAGAGACTGTATAAGGGAATTTTGCAAGATCAATGCAAATATTTTTTGCAGCAACAATAACTAAACAAGTGTGTCTCACTGGATGGAACACACAGGAACGAAACAATACATTTGTGGACAGAGATTTGTGGACAGAGATGGTGGAGAGAAACGCACCAGCATGTGTCTTAACAAGGCCAGGGGCTGACCGCAGAACAGACCATCAATTACTCCTATGCAAGTTTAAGTTAAAGCTCAAGAAAATGAAAACAACTCCACGAGAGCCAAAGCACGACCTTCAATATATCCTATCTGCATTTTGAGGACATATGAAGAATTGATCTGACCCATTGAACACTCATGACTGAAGACCAAATGGCTCGTGAGATGACATCAAGGACAGAATGCATGAAGAAAGTGACAGGTGGTTTCAAAGACCATAAAGCAAGGAAAAGAAACAAAATTAATGTCAGAAGAGACTCTGAAACTTGCTCTAGACTAAAAAACAACTTCCTACATTCATTCTTCCTGTAGTTAAAGGGAATGGAAGAAATGGTGCAGAAAAGCTGAACAAAGGAGCAGTGTGAGAGGCCAAAGCACAATAAAGAAATGCGCAAAGACCTGCAGGTAGAAACTAGGAGCAAAAACCACACTTGGCATGATGAAAAAAATTGAAGCCTTGGATTGCAAAACAGAAGAATTACATGACTAAATGACAAATGATGCCAGAAGCCTCAAGAGAAGATGGAAAGAATCTGCAATCACAGTACCAAAAAGAATGGGTCAAGATTTAGCTATTTTAAATGATAGCATCTGATCAAGAACCAATGAGCCTGGGGGAAGATGTCCAAGTGGCACTGAAATAATTAGTGAGAAATAATGCTGCAGGAATTGAATTTATATCAAATGAGATGTTTCAAGAAGCTGATCCAAGAACTTTGTAAGACCTGAACAACTGTCTGGAAGAGATGCCCAGGTGCTACCATTCCAAAGAAAGGTGATGCAACAGAATGCAGAATTTATAGAGCAGTATCATTAATGTCACAAGGTTTGCTGGAGATAAAACAGTTGTGGCCGTACTTTAGAAAGGAATTGTCAGTAATTTAAGCTACAGTCAGAAGTCAGAAGAAAAGGGGGAATGAAGAATATCATTGCTGGTGTGAGATAGAACTTAGCTGAACGAAGAGAGACTACCAGAAAAATGTTTACTTGCTTGGTGTTTTGTGGTTTGTTTGTTTTCTAATTATGTAAAAACATTTGACCATGTAAGTCATAAAGTATGGATAACATTGAGAAGAATGAAGAATTTCCGAACACTAATTGTGCCCATGTGGAACCTGTACATAGATCAGGAGGCAGTTGTTTGAACAGATGAAGGGGACACTGCATGGTTTTTAAAATCAGGAAAGATACGTGCCAAGGATGTTCCTATCCTTTATCATACTCCTTCAGTCTGGATTCTGAATGAAATCATCTGAGAAGCTGGACTACATATGAAGAAGAACACAGCATCAGGACCAGAGGAAGACTTGTTGGCAACTTGGAATATGCAGATGACACAACTTTGGTTGCTGAAAGTGAAAGGGATTTGAAGCACTTACTGATGAAGATCAAAGATGACAGCCTTCAGTATTGATTGCACCTCAACATAAAATAAACAAACAAATGAATCTCACCATTGGGCCAATAGGCAGCATCGTGGTAAATGCAGTAAATATTGAAGTTGTCAAAGATTTCATTTTACTTTGATCCACAGTCCAAGTCAATGGAAGCAGCAGGCAAGAATTCAAACCACTTATTGCACTGAGTACATTTGCTGCAGAAGACATCTTTTAAATATTAAAAACGGAAGAGATTTTTTTCACCCCCGAACTAAAGCGCACCGGATCCAAGCCATGGTATTTTCAATCACCTCATAGGAAATGTGAAAGCTGAGTGATAAATGAAGAAGAAGGGAGAAGAACAAAAGCCTTTCATTATGATGCTAGCAGGGAAGATGAAACGCATGGCCAGAAGAGCAAACAATTCTGTCTTGAAGAAGCACAGCAGAATGCCCCTTAGAAGGAAGGATGGTGACCTTGGCCTCATGAACTTTGGAGGCGTGTTCAGGAGGCACCAAACATTGGAGAAGGACCTTATGCTTGGTCAAGTGGAGGGTCATTGGGAAAGAGGGACAGGATGGATTAACTAACCTCAACAAGATGGACTAACCCATTTCTACAACAATGAACTCAAGCACAGAAACAAATTTGACCAGACCACTGACAAATTGGTCTCTATTTGTTGGAGAATCACTCATCCACAACATTCCACCAGTTTGCCACACACACTCCTAAATGTGGCTCATCCTTGGTTGATTTCTTGGCACTGTTTGTCTTCTCCACCTTCATCTGTATAGAAATCTCCAAGGGCAGAGACTGAGTCTGTTCCCTTTCCTGGATGTATCCTTGGCACCTGGATCCCTAGCTTAGGTCTGATTCTTCTGGATGGAAAGATATGGGATGGTTCCATTGGTGTTCTGTCCAGGGCTCTGGCCAACAGGGCTAAAGTCGGGACGGAGTGGCCAGAGGGATCCCCTTACCTGGGAATGGTGAACAGATAGGAGAGCCATTTGGTCACCTCTGAGACTGAGCACCAAGGGGCTTCCCAGGACCCCTCATCTGCTGACACCAGAAGCAGGGGTCGCCCTGCCTTGTCCCGGCCACCTGGAGACGAAAGGACAAACATGCAGTGAGAGCCTGGACAGAGTCATCTACATGAGCCTGCCCTGTGGTCCCCAGGCCTTTGTTCATAACGGCCTGTTTGCTTACAATGCCTTTTCTCTCCTCCTCCTGGAAACTCTGAACTCATAGTCATCCTTTAAGATCCAAGCCCCACTTCCTCAGAGAAGTCTTTCCTGAACCCCTCAGCTCCATGCAGTAATAGTCACCTTCCTCTGGACCTGGCACCCTGGGAGGCAAAGCTGTTGCAATGCTTTTTCACACAGATAGGGGTTCAATTCCTTGCCCTGAACCAATTTTATGTATGTTTTGGGGCAGGTCTGTGGATTTCAGTTTCCTCCTCTGTCAAACAGGCTGAGTGAATGAAAGTACTGCATTTATTAAGTCATTTCAAGGCTTAAGTTACAGAAGCAGGTAGCATGAAGCAAAATGTCAATAAACAAGGGGATCTCTGGTGGCCTAGTGGCAAGAAGCTGTGCTGCAATCCTGAAGGTGCATGGTTCGAATCCAACAGATGCTCCACTGGAGAAGGAGAGACAGTCTCCCCCTAATGCCAGTCGGATCTGACTCAATGGTCCGTACACACACACACACACACACACACACACACACACAGAGAGAGAGAGAGAGAGAGAGAGAGAGAGAAGGGGGAGAGAAGTAAATAAACAGTCATCATTATCATCATCATCATCATCATCATCATCACCTCTGTCTCTAGCCCGTGATGTGGGTGTGTCCCGCGTTGAGGCCACCAGCTCAAATGGCCACTAGATCACTAGACATAGTCTGTCAGTTATTAGTCACCACAAACAATTTCCTGTTCCTGGGAATCACTCCCCGACCATGACCATGAGGCTGAGTTCAAGGAGTCGGCACCCCTTCTCTGGATGGGGACAATCAGGGACGTTAACTGGGGGCAAAGAGGCCCAGGTCTCTGGGAAAGGGCCCATTCTGTGTCCCACACTCACAGTTACTCCCAGAACCATCTTTCTCCCAGCTGCCTTGCAATGACCACCATCCACTGCAAGGGGGCATTACTCTGCAGTGTGCTTGGCCCTTCACAGTCCATGTGGTTTTGGACAGATTGGGTCATCTTCACAAGCACTACCTTACCTGGAATAATCTCTCTTTCAAGCATGTTAAAAAAATTGACATACTTTTTAACATTTTGAAATGGATATAACTGTGTGTGCGTGTGTGCACGTGTTTTATCAGTTGCTGTAAAGCTGGCTCTGACTCCTGTGTCCCTGTGTGTGAGAGGAGAGCTGTGCTCCAGAGGATGTTCTAGGACTGACTTTTAAAAAGTAGATTGCCAGGCCTTTCTTCCAAAGTGCTTCTGGGTGGACTTGAATGCTCGCCTGGTCCCTGGTGAGTAGAGTTGCTAACCCAAAGGCCATATCTCTCTCTGCACATTTGAATCCACTGGTAGCTCTGTGGGAGAAAGATGGGCAATGTCTTTCCGTGCAACTTACAGTCTCAGAAACCCAATGGAGGGTAAATCATGAGTCAGTCCTGACTCAACAGCAGAGTACGTACACGTACAGTTATGCAGGAATCAAGAGCTCAGGTGGGAGTCTCAACCCCTAGGGTCCAGTTCACCCTGTTCTGCATTAAAAGCCTTCAGTAAAAGGTCACAGAAGCTCTACCTGAGGCTCTTATGTCTAAGGGCAGACAGAGTCATGACTCCGCATGTCATCAGTGTCCTCTTCCCTGGAAACTGTGTCCCCACCACTTGACATGCAGAAGGGAATCTGTAGATGTGGTTAAGAGCACGGACCCAGATATGGGAAGCTTTGTCTGCCTTATTATCCAGGTGGGCTCAATCTGCTGACATGGCTCCATAATAAATAAACGAAACAACCTGGTTGCCGTGGCGTCAAGTGGATTCTGCCTCACAGTGGACTCCTCAGCAGAGAACTTGCTCAGGCTTTGACAGGTACAAAAAAGGTGTCAAGATGGAAGGGTCAGAGATGCAATGCGGAAAGTAATGAGGCCTCAAGCTGAGGACTGTAGAGAACCACTAGACTCTAAGAAAGACAGGAAGAGGCAGCAGCATCCCTCAGTTAATGACTGGGAGGCACAGGGGTACAAAAGATCCCTAAGGTGGAACCAAGTCTGTGGTGCGATCCACACTCCAGAGCTTTCCATGGGCTCAGGCTGCGGCAGACCTCCAGCGGAGACCTGATCCTGGCTCAGCCCCTCCCCTGCCGTGTCCAGCTGTCTTCGCTCTGTTCTCCTGAGAGCACGTTCCCATAGATCCCTATGGAAGACTCTGCTTTAAGGGAACTTCATCCTGGAAATACACACTGAAGCACCCTCACTGAACTTTGAGTGGGTGGATGAACGGGGACCCACTTACCTCCTGCTTTAGCTCCTACTCTTTTTTTAATTTTGTGAAATCAATGATTTAAACTTTTTTCACATTTGAACATGTCTTTAATTGTACTTCAATACTTTTTTTTTACTAGTTTCTTTACAAAATTCTAATCCCTTCTTCCCCCTGTACATTCACATCCCTCTGCTTCCAGCCTCTCCCACTCCTCCTGGATCCTTATACTCATTCTACAATAACAGTCTTATACAATATTTATCCTTGTGGGACTGAGTTAGATTTCCACTCTTATTGAACCAATAGGACAGAGTAGAATTTTTCATAGGACTTCATGTTTATGGAAACAGACTGTATCATCTTTCTTCCAGGGATTGATTGATGGGCTCAAACCACTAACCTTTTTGTTACTAGCTGAATCTTTTGACTGCTGTGCCACCAGGGCTCCTTGGATGAGAGAACAGATACCTAGAAATGTCTTTCATTCATTCCTAGTCCTTCATTGAACAGATGAGGAAACTGAGACAGAAGGAGACTGGTCCAGACCCAGGCTCCCAGGGCTTTCTCTGCCTTTTTGTACTCACCACCGTCGGAGGATGCCCAGGGACCACCCTCCAGCCTCCCCTCTCCCCTTGCTCTATCTCCACCTTCCTGTATAGTCCCCCCAGGACCTGGTAGGCACGCTATCCTTGACTGGCAGAGATCAATACTCAGAGTCCCCATTCTGGGCTCAGTCCCTGGGGGTGCCTCATCCTGGGTGGGGCTTCTTTTGGGAGGGCCTGTGGAAGCTTCTGGGAAACTAGCCTTCGCGCCAGTCAGTGGGCCTGAGTCAGCAGCCAGGCCAGATGTTTGGGTCTGAGTTGATCCAGCTGAGACAAAGCAACAACAAAGAAAAGGATGTTAGCAAGGGATGGGCTTTCCAAGGGGGGAATGTCTTTTCATTCATCTTCTCACTAATAACAATAGCTTCCAACTATTGATCTCCTATTGTCTGCTAGGCATTGTGCTAAGCTCTTTCCTTCTAGTATCTCTTAGAACCATCAAAACAACTCTGTGAAGTAGGCAAGATCCCTTTTGCATACAGAGAAGCTTGGACCAGAGAGGTTAGGGCCTTGACCAAGGGCACACAGCTATGGGTGGCAAGGCCGGACTGTGCTATCAGGCAGTCTTGGCTAAACCACAGAGACTGGCTCAGTTTCAGATCAGTGAGACTGTGGTTCTTAAGACACGGCAAAGATCAGATGTATTGTTCACTGAGGTTACTCTAAGTCAAAGTCAACTCAATGACACGCAATAACAACAACAACAATATCCCGTCTCATGCACTAAAGCCTAAGTTTGTCTGTTGTAGGTGAATCTCTTCCTTATGACCAGAACTGTCGTTTAACCAGATAAAACCAAGGAGCATAGTTTCCATGTCCAGTGGAGTCAGTGGGGACCTTACCTTTCTCCAAGGACTTGACTCGGTTGGATTTGGGGGAGTAGAGAGAGCACAGAACTTTCCAGGGTCCATCGTGCTGGACCAGAGCTTTCTCAGGAGATGCAGGAGACAACCTCTGTCCTTTCAAGAAAGAGAACTTGAGTCTAGGGCTGGGGGACTCAGAAGAGGAAGTGCTTTGGCTGGGGCTGGTTATAGCTGTGGGCAGGCTCCCATTCTCCTGTGGGGCTTTTTCCTCCATCCTTGGCTCAGGGGCTGGAGGAGAAGCAGGGTAGAGGCGAGGAGAAGAAGCTTGTCTTGGCCCTGGCCTGAGCTGGGACATGGTTTCTGGGTTTTCCAGAGCTCTCTGACCTTTGGAAGCAGCTGGGCCATCTGAGACCCTTGCACTGAGGCCACAGGCACTGTCCAGTGGGTTCTCCAGGACACTGAGGTAGGGTTCTTGGGGTGCACCCTCTGAGATGTGAATGGGTGCTTCAGGGCTGACCTTTCTCTTTAAGTGTGAAATACAAGATTCCTCCTCCTTCAAGCTTGCTGACTTTGAACAAGTCCATTTTTCCAAAGATCTCCCATTGATCCTTTGAGAGAGATGGATTTTCTTTGTTCGGGATAGCTCCTCCAGTGACCCATAAGAACGCACACTAGAAGTCTCTGTCTCTTTACTGGGAGACCCTCTTCCTCTGCTCTCTTGAGAAAAATCCAGAAGAGCCACATAATCTCCCTCCGAGTCCTGGCTAACTGCATAGTCTGCCTTGAGGGCCACTTCTCCAGGCCTGGCTTGCTCCACCTTGATGAGCCCTGGATACTTATGTCCATTAGTCTTGTCCTTACCTTTGGTCAAACTCCAGGTAAGAGACTCAAGGCTGCCAGGGGACCTGACCTGGTTCAGCTCTTGGGGGCTGCTCAAATCAAGTGCCTCTAAGTGAAGGGATCCCCAGACTGGGGAGAGGACACTTACTACTTGAGGTCTGTCGTCCACAAACTCTGGGCTAGTTATCTTGGTCCAAGGCAGGCGGGAAATCCCATTTTCTGAAGCCACCAGACAGCTGTGTAGAGGACTTCCCTCAAAGTCGTGATTGATGGCTGCCAGCCATTCTTGAGTGAAAAGTACAGGGTAGGCGGACTCCGGAACAGGCTTCTTGTTCACCGTGCGGAGATCCAAGGAGAGGCACTTGATCACGATCCAGACAGACTGCTCCTTTTGAGGCTCAACTTGGAGGTAGAAGTCACCAGGACGCAATAAGAGGGGATTGAGGGGTGCCAGGTGGACCACCACTTCATTCCGCAGACAGAGCGGCCAACCTTCATGCAGGAAGAGACAGTGTGAGTAGGGGACCTGCAGAGAGAAGGGGCGAGCTCAGACAATCTGGCCATGGAAGAACCCATGTCTTAAGTCTACTTCTTCTATGGGAAGCCAAATTTCATACCAAATATTATATGAAAACCATATGCTTGTTCAGAAATTGAAGTAATTACTACAAATTTATAAGTTAGGATTTCTCTTGTGACAGATCACAGAAAATGAGCTGTTTCCTGTAGACAAGAGACAGCGAGGGACCCCCTACAGAGGGAGTGTTAATAGGTGTGAAATACTTCTTTCCTGAGCTAATGCATTAGGTTGAACAATAGAGAAAAATGCTGTTTCATTTACAAGAAAATTCTCTTTATGATTTGCTTCCACTGATTATCAATAAATATACAGAGAGGTGTGGCTTGAGGCCCTTCAGTCCTTGGAACTGCCGCCCCCCTGTCTTTTACGCTCTCTGTTTTATCTCATTCCTGGTTGTCTGTAGCATTATTAATAATTATAAAAATACTTTACCCTCAGTCTGCAACATTCTTCCCCTCTCCTAGATACAATGTAAAATAGGACAGGAAACTAATGTGAGACCAGAGAATCACGTTTAAGGAGGCCCCTACCCTCAAGGTTGTACAAGCAGACACACAACGCTGAGAGTGAAGGCTTCCTTCCATTTTGTATCCCGGATGTGCCACTTGCTTCGAGCCTAGACAAGAAGCACTTTCTCCTGGGTGGTCTTCTTGCTTTGACTTCCTTCTCCTCCAAAACATCTCTCAACCCAGCTCAAGTCCTCCCTCTCCACTTCAGAGCCAGACAAACATGATCCCATGGTCCAAATCACCAACTTGTGCAAATTCTTTACCTGCACTGTACTTCAACAGGGAACGATTGGTAAATAAGATCCCTTTTGTATTTTGGGTTGGTGTGAGAGGTAAATAATATCCATGTGACATACACGGCTTCCTCCGATCTACTATGAGAAACTCCCATTTGACCTGGGGTTATAAGGATCATCCCAAATTCTCCCTGTGTGGAAGTGGAAGGGACAGGACCTCACACAGGGAAAATAAAGGACTGCAAGGGCTATGTCTATGGGAGAAATAAAAAAAAGTCACAATGTGGATGTGGTTGAAATGGCCACACAAAGGAAGTGAGTGGTTGTATAACTAAAAGGAAAAATAAAGATGGCTAGGGGATTACATGAAATCATACACACTTGGAAATGTGAAAGTTGTCTGCAAATGCTTCAACAAGACGTGTCTGCCTCCTGCTTTAACAGTTATTGTGTTAACACTGTGAGTTATGCCTGTGTGCCAGGCACTATGATAAGTGTGTTAAATGACTGGTCTCCTTCTGGCTCCAACTGGCTCCAATTTTGGTCCCTACCCTGAACTCCTAGCCACCACTTTCTTTTTCTTTCTACTACTAAAATGGCACACACAGTCCCCATCTTTCTTTTAGTCCCCATGCTGTGACTCTGACAGACAATGAGAAACACAGAAAAGACTAGTTGGACCTATTAAAATATTTGTAGCCTTCATCTTCTGATCATAAGAGTGACCACATAACCAACCCTGGCCAATCAATCCTGGTACCACCTTCCTCTAGCTGCAGTGATTGGTCTAGGGTAGGTTGCAGTGATTGGTCCAGTACAGGCATGTGATCCAGCCTGGCCAATCACAGGCCTTCCTTGAGATTTTTCTATCTGTAGCAGATGGAGAAGAGTTCACTTTTTAATCTAAGGATAACCTAGAAATAATTCAAGAGTGGGCCTGGACTCTAGCCTAGTGAAACACCTAGTTTAAAACGGTGATACTGGAAGCAGAAAGAAGCAGACAAGAGAAAAAAGAATGAGAGAGGGTTGGTCCCTGGGATCAAGTAATGCCTGAAGCCTAATCTACACTCACCTCATCTGATTAAGGATTCTGTCATTTATAATCAACAAGTCCTGTTTAAAACACTTTTCCTTCCGTTTTGCCTCAGGGAGAAGATTTCTTGAGATCTAGGTTTGAAGGGGAGGTCAGAGAGAGCCCGATTGCCCTGGTGTCTACAGGAAAGCACTGGAACATACATAGTTATTTCTATTGACGTTGACATCCTTCAACAAAGATGGCCTAGTGATACCCTCAAAACTAGACCCAGGACAGGCTTCAGAAAGCCCAGAATCCCCAAGGAAGTCTTCTAGGCAGGCCTTTCTCCCTGGTAGTCACAGTATGTTGTTGTTGTTGTTGTTGTTGTTATGTGCTGTCGAGTCGTTTGCGACTCACAGCGACCCTATGTACAACAGCCCTAAACCCTGCTCTATCCTGTGCCAATCGCATTGCCTCTGACACACCCATCCCGATTACCCCAGTCACTGAATCAATCCACCTCATAGAGGGTCTTCCCCTCCTGCGCTGTCCCTCCACCCTACCAAGCATGATGTCCCTCTCCAAGGACCTGTCTTTCCTGACAACATGTCCAAAGTATGTCAGACAAAAGTCACAGTATACATTTGTTTTATTTTCAGGTCTAAGAATAAAGGCCCAGGAGACGCCATTTGAGGGGATTTAAGTTTCCCTCTGAGCAAATAATGATTGGTTAAACCACTTCATAGTCTCAACTCCTTCTATGAGGCAAGAAAACACACCAATCCCCTTCCTTCTCATGGCCAGCCCCACAGCACTCTGGGAGAGCTCCCCTTTGAGCCCTACATCTTTCCAGGACTTACACAGGCTGCTTCTCGCACTTGTTCACATAAGCGCTTGGCAGGGATCAGGAAATCCAGGAGGAAGTTCAGCCCATCCCCATGAAAGTCGGAATCCAGGAGCCGGAATACCTGACCCAAGACGGTAGGTGCTGTGGCCTCAAATGGGGGGTAGAGGCCTGCCAAGGCATGCTGGATGGCTGTGTCCAGGGATGGTGGATCCTGTAGGGGGCAGGAAGAAAGGAGGAAAAGTAATTGCAAAAAGAGCAACTGTAAAAGGAGCAAGGAAAGCGTAAAAAATGTGGAGATGGGCAAGTCTGAATTCTATTACCTCCACAAAGGAGAACTGCCCCTATCAATAACATCCACTATATAAAAGCAATTCCTATGAGGAGAAACATGGCATCAGGATTGGAGGAAGACTCAACAATCTGTGTTATGCTGATGACACAACCCTTCTTGCTAAAACTGAGGACCTGAAGCACTTGCTGCAGAAGGTGAAGGCCTACAGCCTTCAATATGGATTGAAGCTCAACATGAAGAAATTTCTACTGGGCCAATTGGCAGCATCATGATAGATGATGAAGAGATTGAGATTGTTAACAGGTTTAGTTTGTTTGGCTCTACAATGAACACTCTTGGTACCAGCAGCCAGGAAATTAAAGGACGAATTGCATTGGGAAAATCTGCTGTCAGAGACCTCTCCAAAGTACTGAAGAGCAATGATATAAGTCTGGAGACTAAGGTGCACCTGATTCAGGCCATAGTCTTTGCAATTACTTGCTATGCATCAGAAATCTAGACAATGACTAGGAATGATAGAAGAAAAATTCATGCTTTGAGCTGTGGTGCTGGAGAAGAATATTGAATATACCATGGACTGCTGGGAGAACAAACAAGTTCATCTTAGTGAGAGTGAGACCAGGTTTCTCCTTGGAGGCAATGATTCTGAAGCTTCATCTGATATATTTTGGACATGTTTCAAGGAGAGAACAGTCTTTGGAGAGGGACATCATGTTTGGGAGGGTGAAGGGACAACACAAGAAAGAAACATTCTCAATGAGATGAATTGACTCAGTGACTGGGGTAATGAGTGTAGGTGTGTCAGAGATAATAGGACAGAGCAGGGTTTAGGGCTGTTGTACATAGGGCCACTATAAGTTGCAGGACTCAATGGCACATAACAACAATTGTAATTACAATGTTATGAAACAAAATGTGTACAAATGATCAAATGAAAACAATATGACTTGTAAACTTTTCCTCAAACAATAGCAACAACAAGGAAAAAAGTATAAGAAAAACAAAAGAAAACTAATTCCTTGGTAGGACAGTTGTACATACTGATGCATCTATCTACTTCAACACCAGGCCCAAAATTCATTGCAAAAGTTGTGTGATTTATTAGGGAAACAGGTTATAAGTTGTGGGAGGGGGGTGGAGGAAAGCAGAAGACATCATAGAGTGAAAGTCCAGGTTCAATCTAACAGCACAAATGCAAGAAATGTCTGGTTTCCTCAATCATCCAGCAAACTTTTGCCTCATAGCAGCCAGCTCTTCCTTCAATTGTTCAGAAGCAAAACCTTTAACTCTGGCTCTGACTCCAGGGCTCCATCAGGCTATGCCTTGCCACACTCTTTCTACAGTCTGGCCAGCTCTCCTTCTCATATTGGCCCCACAGCTGTTGACAATGTAAAAGATGCTGATCACCAACTAATCATGTGTCTGCAATTGAGGCAGTTGAGGCAGATAGAGACCATGTGCCTAGAGGGGGTTAGGACAATGGCTAGAAAAGCCATTTTCAAAAAGCCTAACACCACAGTAATAGAAACAAAATTTACAAGGACACTATCCATTCTGCCTGAAGAGCTGACCTCCCATTTTTTTCTCTCCCCCTTGCTTATTTGAGGTCACATAACAACCACAAAACAGAGGTCTCGGAGTTGGAACTGACTCCTAGCTGGCCCCACTGGATTCCCGAGGTTGTAAATCACACTGAAGGGGATTGTCCGTTTTCTCCCTCATAGCTGCTGCTGCTGGATTTGAACTGCCAGCAAAGCGAAGCCTTTAAATTAGCAGTGTGTTCTCCCTCATGAATATCCTCTGTGACTGATTTCTCCCCTACCACGATTTGAGAGATGAATCCAGCCCCCAGTGCCATCCTGAATCTACTACTGTTACCCCGATATTAATAGTTTCCAGGCACCTAGTAAGAGCTCCGGTGGCTTGGTGGTAAGGAATCGTGCTGCTTACCCAGAGCCACACAGTTTGGATCCAGCTGTTCTGAGGGAGAAAGACGGGTATTCTCCTCTTGTGTGATCTACTTCCTAGGAAAACTCATTGGAGGGTTGATTATGAGTCAGTTCCAGTTCAACAGTACGTAACAACAGCGAGGTACCTACCAGGAGCCTAACCTTGGACTCACATTCTCTTGCTTAATCCACACAGTATCCTGAGGAACTAAATAGAAATAATCCCAATTTACAGGCAAAAAAACTGAAGTTGATTTTGCCCAAGATCAGAGTAAGGAGAGACACAGAGACAGGATTCAGTCACATCTGGGTCTGCCAAGTCCGCTTCTTTCCCAGTCTTGCAGCCCTGTCTGCCTTGAGGCCACCAGCAGCCACTGGCTGTTTACCCAAAGAAGCTGTTTACCTCGGGCAGACTGAGGCTCTATGGCTGAGAAAACCTTTGGCTTTGATCAATTGGCTTAGTGCTCCGCACACTCAAATCGTTTAAAGGGCAGCCAGCACAACGAGGATGTTCCAAGCTAACAGAGCTCGGAGCTCTTGACCAAAGCATTACCTGCCACAGCCCTGCACCCCAGGGGCTCATAAGCTATCCAAGTATTTGAAAGAGTGCATGGTTTCAGTGTTGAGGGGGCCCAGTAGATTGCAGAAAGGGATGCTGACCACCCTCCACCCCAAATCAAGCAAGCAGCTCGTTCTGGGACCACAGGAACCCCAGCGCCGTCAGCCAGACACAGGCCCCTCAAAATGATTTCCATGAAACTTAATAGACGTGTTTCCATTCCTGCTCAGTGAGCGCAGCCTGGCTGGGCCTTTAACTGTTCCTCTGAGGAAGCCAAGGCCAGAGACAGCCTGTGTGAGGCTGAAAGGGAAGAAGGTGAGAGGAGGGGGAGCCCATCCGCAGCCCCCTCCCCTGCAGCCATAGAAGGAGCTCATCGTCAGGGTGGGCAGAACAAGGTCCTCATCACAGGGCATCCGGGTATGGTGCCCACTACGTCTTTGGACTGACACAGGGAACCTTGTACAGTGCACAGAGGGTCACAGACATTGTCTGTTCTGTGTGGTTGTGCTTGAGGCGTAAAAAGAGAAAGCAGGGGTGTCTATATACATCTAGTTCAGTGTCTCTGCAAGGAGCCTTTTACTGTAACTGTCATTTCCAGTGTGTCACTTGGAGACTGTAGGCGGCACAAATAGTTAAACTGCTAGGCTACTAGCCAAAAGAGTTTGCACTTCAAAATTACCCAGAAGCACCTTGGAAGAAAGGCCTGGCTAACTACTCCCAGCAGCTCAGAGCCATTGAAAACTCTCTGGAGCAGATCTCCTCTAACACACATGGGGTCACCATGAATCAGAAATGCCAGCAGCGATTGGGGGGTTATTGCTTTATTTGGGGATGCTGTCTATGTGCGTGTGGTAGGGGCAGGGTGGGAATATGTTACGTGTTATTTGCGTAAATCCAAATGAACAAATATTAAGTGTACATCTCTGTACGTACTTCAGTAACAACCACCTAGATCAAGAATCTATAGGTAGATTTCTACCATTCTAGAAAATTCTCTTGGTGCTCTCAAAACCCCACCCCAGGGGGAATGACTGTAATTTTTTGAGGGGGAAAAAACCCTCATGCAGTATCTCTCCTGTGTATAACGTATATAATCCTAGACATAAGCCAAAAGGACATTAAATAAGGTGTTAACTGCAGTTCATGCTGAAGCCGTGAGAGGTAAGGGGTTTAATTTGAGGCACCGTTTTCATTTTCTTCATACTTGGCTAGGTTTTCCAAATGTTCCCAAACCAGCTTGTGTAGCTTTTATAATTGAAGGGGGGGGGGCAGCGCTGAGAAAAGTATAATTGTATGTGTTTTGAAGGCTGGTTCCCCTTTTAAATGGTCTCACCAGATGTTAGTTGGGCTTTGACAATGTGGGCTGAACCTTTCTTAAAGGCCCAGAATCAACCAAGTGCTCCAACAGGAAGCTGTCCTGTTACCACTCAGAATCTGCCAACTCCTTGCTTGGGAAAAGGGAGGACAGAGAAGAGCCAAGGTAGATTCTGTTCTGCGTTTGCCTTCAACCCCTGCTCTTTATGGGACAAATGTTTAGGGAGTGTGACTCACTCAGTCTCCCCAGCTGTAAAATGGAGGCATTGTACTTTTCTTTTTCTAAGCAACTCTTAAATTCCAAATATCAAGTTTAGGAAGGCTTGGAGGCAGAATGCAATTTCTGATGGGATTAGTTCATCTTCCATTGAAAAGAAAATTTAATAAGATCGCTTAACTATCTTCCTGCCTCAAGGCCAAAGAGAGTCTATATTAATAACCACAGACACAAATGCCTGACGGGCCTGACAGGTGACATGGAAGACAGAAGTGGGCCCCATGTGAGAATATGACCCTCTTGCTCCTGGGCAAGTGGTTCCTGAGAGGTAGCTGCAGGAGCAGGGGAGCCACAGAGAGTAGTGGGGCGCGGGGCACGTACCCACCCCATAGCATCATCCCCGTCCAGCGATGCCTTAGCCCAGAACTGCCTGATCTACTCGCATTTCAGCAAAACCTTCCCGTTTTTTCAAGTTTGGCCAAGTTAAACACGTCTGGGAGTCACACTCGGCCTCGAAGGTGTCAGAATTTGACCTCTAGGCTCGACCACCTGGGACATTTTCCTTCGACGTCTCTAGGCTGCAGCGTCTAAAACCCACATTCTGTTGTTTTGGCCGGCAGGAAGTTCTCACTCATGTCCAACTAAAACTTCTGCTTTCGTTTCTTTCTGGTTTTGTGTGGGTGGTGATGTGAGAATTGGCTCTCTGCGCAAAGCCTTCAGAAATGGGAAAAACAATCTGCATGCAGGGAAGAGAGAACAGAGTGGGCATCAGAAGCCCACGTTCAAGTCCAGCTCAGGCCCTGCCAGCCGTGTGACCCAGAGCAGAGCACTTCACCTCTCTATTGGAAGTCTTTTGCACGTCTTTCACTCAAAGTGTGTAATGATAATTTATTGTTGTTATGTGCCATCGAGTTGCTTGTGACTTATAGCGACCCTATGTACAAGAGCTCTAAACGCCGTTCTATCCTGTGCCAACCTAGCCATCCCAGACGCACTTATTCCCACCACTCCAGTCACAGAATTAATCCATCTCATTGAGGGTCTTCCTCTCCTTCGCCGCCCCTCCACTCTGCCAAACACGATGTCCCTCTCCAAGGACCAGTCCCTCCTTGCAACATGCCCAAAGTATGTCAGATGAAGCTTCAGAATCCTTAACTCTAAGGAGCATTCTGCCTTTACCCTCTCCAGGACAAACCTGTTTGTTCTCCTAGCAGTCCATGGTACATATTCAACACTCGTCTCCAGCTCAAAAGCATCAATTCTCTTTCTATCATCCCTAGCCACTGTCCAACTCTCACATAATTGTGAAGACTATAGCCCAGATCAGGCGCACCTTAGTCTCCAGCCTGATATTGTTGCACTTCAGTACTCTTGAGAGGTCCCTCACAGCCAACTTTCCCAATGCAATTCGTCTCTTGATTTCCTGGCTGCTGTTACCAAGGGTGTTGACTGTGGAGCCAAGTAAACTAAAACTATTAACTCTCTCAATCTCTTCACCATCCATACTGATGCTGCCAACTGGCCCAGTGGTGAGAATCTTTGTTTTCTTGATGTTGAGCTTCAATTCACATAGGAGGCTGCAGCCCTTGACCTTCTGCAGCAAGCACTTCAGGTCCTCCTCAGTTTCAGCAAGCAGGGTTGTGTCATCTGCATAAGGCAGGTTGTTGATGGCTCTTCCACCAATCCTGATGCCACATTTCTCCTCATACAGCCTAGTGTCTTGGATGATAACAACTATAATTAAATGTTTTTCTTACTGAGTACTCCTTTTATGAAGACTGATAGATCTGATGTTAAGTACTTTCCATGCGTTCTTTCAACAATGCTGTGGTAGTTTTATTCCCATTTTGCAGGTTAAGAAACGGAGTCCAGAGCTCCAGCTATTAAATGGTAGTTTTAAATGTGAGCCTGCTCCTTTCACCTTGTCCTCAGGTTCTCTACCATCAGGCCAGGTTCGCCTTGGATCACCACAGTGGCCTTCCACCACCCGGATCCAGTTGTAATGCTGACCTGCTCAACAGCCTCTGATGGCTGCCCATTGCTTTAGCGTCTCATTGTCTGGACATTCACAGCCCGTTATCCTGTCCCCAGCTTCTCTTTCTTCCACCTTCTAACCCAGTTAACATCCTAGCCCAGGGTTTCCTAATCACACACCACACTCATGATGCTTTTATGCTGTGCTCACAGATGCTACTTTATTTTTTTGCCTAAAATTTATCATTATTTATGTGATGTTTGTCTTTTTTTGCCAAGTTGTTTTAATCTAAATTTATGTGTGTTTATTGTCACCAGTTTGTAATGTTTAAACCATATCCTTGTCGATTAAGAGGATAAGCTGAATTTTTTTAAAATGTGCATCTAAACGCCATCTGAAGCCTCCCTTCCCAGCACCCAGGGAGAGGTCCCCTTTGGGAAGAGTTGCCATTTGCAAAATTCCAGCCTCTGACCACTGCTCCCCTCTCCAGGAGAAGCAGAGTCATCCTTTACAGCCCTACTCAACTGGCCCTCTTCTTAGAGCTTTTCCTGACACTCAAATTTACAGGTGAAGGATGTCCTATCACCTCTCCCACAGCCTCAAGTTCTCCCAAATGAGTCTGTCTTCCCAGGAATTGCAAGCCTAGGGTCAGGGACCACAGCTTGCTCATCTCTACCCTGCGGTCCCTCCACAGGGCCCAGCACACAGTAGGTGTCTTCAGAATAGTGAACGAATTAAATCAGACTCCACCAGTTTTTCTCTAAGGAGGGGATGAAATCACAGCTTGGATCACAAGCTGTTCTGGAGAGAACACAACTCAATGTGAAATCGTAAGGAAGTCACTCAAATGTTTGCCCAAGTCCTCCTGATTAGACTGGGAGATCTCAGTTCCATCTTGAACACTTCTCTCAGACACATAGTCATGACTCCTTCGACCTAAGGAGGAAGGAGTCCTTGGCTGGGGTCATCCACAGGCAACCTCCCTTGACCACACTTGCTAATATGACTGTGTCTTCCTTGTATATATTTGATAATTTTTTTCTATTGAATCTGTCTTGGTCATGACAAAATTTCCTGTTGATCTGCTTTGTTTTGTTTTTACTACAGAAATGTTTCACAGAACAGCAGAGCTTTACCTCCGTGGAGGCAGGTAAGCCTTAGTAAGTACTCTGTGAAGTGGCTCTTCTCGTGGGAATCCATAAACTGTCACTGATTGGACAGAAAGGAGCTCATTGAAAAGACGATCTTTATTTTTTAAGTTGATAAGGCAAGTTGACTTAAAGATAAAGGGTAATAAGTATCCTTTTATTTCCTTTATATGATAATTCTATTTCTTTATATTTTACTCAGTAAGTGGGTATAGAAAAATTGTTATAATCATACTGAAAATTGACAAATGCATCACTAAATAAACCCTAGGCCTCTTTGCCATAAGATTCTTTGACATTAGGCCACTAGATTATTGTTGTTGTTGCTATTCACTGTTGAGTCAGAACCAGTTCATCGCTGACCCTCCCATTGGTTTTCAGAGGCTGTGAATCACAAGGGAGGAGACTGCCCATCTTTCTCCCTCAGAATAGCTGATGGATTCAACCACATGTCTTTGGGGTAGCAACACCACTCCTCACCATGAGGCTACCAAAGCTCCTTTGCCCTTGATTATTAGACAGCCATTATTAAAATGGTAATAAAAACAGGAATAATCCTACAACCATGGGGAATGCTATAAAGGAGAGATGCTAGCATTAACGTTGGGGAAATCAGAGGAGGCTTTCCTGAGGAGGTAACATCTGGGTAAAGATTGAGCGAATTCATTGGTAAATGTGGTATGCCCAGCAAGAACTGTAGTGCAAAGGCCCTGTGGCAGGAGGGAGTAAGAAATATCAGAGGCTCTGGCCAAAGTGGCTGAAGCAAAGAGGTGAGGCCAGAGAGGTGGGGAGATGACAAACTATACTAGTTAAAGACAAGAGATGAAAGGGAGATCTCTTTGTTGTTCTCACTCAGGATACGGTTGATTGGCCTTTAAAAGGGGCAACCCCGTTCCAACCCTTGATCTGAGGGCTGCCTGGTGGGTCTGGAGCTAGATGAAGGGTTCCTGGATCCTAAAACTAATGACAAAATAGATCAAAAGTTAGGGTTGACAGTTTCATTGTGGTCCTGGGGTAACCATGGCAGCTGACTGCAACCTCAAGAGTCGCACCACCCTAAGTCCCACTTCCTGGCAAGATGACCTGGGACAGCATTTACATTCCTAGTAGGTAGAGGATCTACTTTGAGAGTTGGTGTGTTATTTGTGCTCTGGCATGTGAATTACCCAGCACTGGCCTTTGGTGAGATTCAAATAACCACTGTTGTAGTGGCTGTGTGCCGGTGAATCAGAACTGACCCATAGCTGACCCTCCAGTAGCTTTTCAAAGGCAGTGCTTACATAGGAGGAGATTGCCCATCCTCCTGCAGAGCATCTGGTAGATTCGGATTCAAACCACATACCTCTGAGATTGCCGCGTAGCTTCTTACCACTAGGCCATCAGATTTTAGCTTGTGATTATTATTACTTCAAATAGCTCCAAGATAAATGTGTTTGTGCGCCTGCCTGCTGCAGTGTGCATCTAGGTGCCAGGTGTGCAATATGTCTGTAGCATGTTTGCAGATGTATGTCCATATTTTAGCTTCAGAAGCAAGTGGACAAGGGCAAAGTGTGTGTGTGTGTGTGTGTGTGTGTGTGTGAGAGAGAGAGAGAGGTGTGTACTCTGCATGTATCTGTTGTGTTATCTATTTAAACACACCTTTGCAGAGAATTCTTTTGTGAACACGCACCAGAGCTAAAACCCACAAGAACGCACCATGGTGGAGCCCTGTCTAAGGGTTAAAGCTCAGGCCTGCCTTCACAGCCTGTTTCCAAATCCCCAGTGCTTCTGTGAGCCCGCCCCGGGCTCCTCAGCTTGTCTGGAGCCCAAATACAGACTTTTCTTTTATTCTTAGTCCCAGATACTGGCGCAAACTCTCCCCCACACACAGTGCTCCCAGAACACCTTCTCAAGATGCTGGTCCAGAGGACTGGGGTTGAGGGGTACTCCCTCTTCCCGCTCCCTTAGTCTACTTACTCCCCAACATATAAAGCACTGGAAGCATTCCACATACAACAAATTGCATAGCTCTAAGTTTAAAATAGTAAAACCACCCCAAATTTTGCCCAACACCCAAAGGCTCAGAGATGGGTTGGACAGCTTCAAAGTTCTGAACTCCTCTCATCTTAACTCCACAGATGGAGAGAGAGGCACGTGAGATGTGGGACATGGTTTGAGAAGTGCAGTGCAGCGATTGATTCCTGCATACTGTCCCTTATTGGGGAGTCAGAGAGAAGGGAAAGGAGTCAACAGTTTCCCAGGTCACTGGAGGTCATTTCAGCGTTACAGGTAGGGATCAGCCTCGGATACCCTCCGACCTCTGGGGCTGTTCTCATAAGTTTCTCGAGAAGGGAAGACCGAGGTGGTCCAGTCTTTGGCATGCGTTACCATGGTGACCGGCAGGCTACAGGCGGCGATGGCAGCTCCTCTCCTGCAACGTCCGATGATTTGTCTGTCTTTTTCTCCAGTGCAGCCCTGGGTCGCCTCCTAGGACTAGAGCCTGCAGAGCGAGCTGGCCAGGTGCGCGCCCCTCAGCCTCATCTCAGAATCTCAGAGGGGAGGCCGGGGCGACAGAGAGACAGAAGGTGCAGGAGAGACGGGCGGAAACGAGAGTGGAGACAGACAGAAAGAGAGACGCGGAGAGCCAAGAGAGGGCAGGCCTGGCGGACCCGGGTGCGAGCGCAGCTCCCCGCGTGGGACCGGCCGAGACAGCGGCCCTTTGTGCCTCCCGGGCGGTGATGAGAACCAGGCGCCCCTCCGCCCCTCGGCTGCGCCTGCCAAGAGCAACTCGAGCCGCCTGCGGTGCTGCCTCCCCGCTCCGCCCTCTTCCCCCGCAGCGCTCGGCCTGGCGCGGCCCCGCCCTCCCTGCGCGGTCCCATTGCTCAGACAGGCACATCGAGGCCATCAGCGCGTAATGGTGCCTGAGGGCCACCGAGCTCAGCGCACTTGGATTTCAGGGTCAGAACTCAGTTCACCTCCTTGTCTGTTTCTCAGCTGGGCAGATCATGAACTCTGTTAAGCCTCATCTTCCTCATCTGTAAAATGGGAATGATGGGATAGTAATGATGATATGTGCCTTAGATTTGGTGGCTGGGAATAAGCATCTGTCCCAGCACCCTGCCCTGTCAATTTTGTCGGCTTTACAACAACAACACAACAACTCCATTATGACGGCACAGTGCAGAGCTTTGAATTGATGGCCACTATTTGCATAATTTTGGCCTTGTTTCTCTGATAATGATCTGCTGTGTGACCTTGGCCAAGACTTGTCCCTCATTGGCCTTGACTTTTCTTATCTTTACATAAGGAGTTGTTGCTGTTGTGGTGGTGGTGTGTACTGTTGAGTCTGGACCAATCCAGCAGGTTTTCAGTGGCTGTAAATCACACAGGAGGGTATTGCTCATTCTCCTGTGGAGCAGATAGTGGATTCAAACCGCCTGCCTTTGGGATGGCAGCACAGCTTCTTATCACTAGGCTAGACTGAAAGAGTAGTACAGCCCAGTGTGGGTCCAGGACTTTCCTGGTGGTAAGAAGATGTGCTGCAATCTCATGCTTGATTTAGGCCATGGTATCTTCAACACATAGGGTCGCTATGAGTCGCAAGCGACTCAACGGCACATAACAACAACAACAACATCTTCAACACTGCACACAACCCTGCTCACTGAAACTGAGGAGGACCTGAAGCGCTTGCTGCAGAAGGTCAAGGACTGCAGTCTTCAATATGGATTGAGGCTCAATATCAAGAAAACAAAGATTCTCACCCCTGGGCCAATTGGCAGCATCAGTATGGATGCTGAAGAGATTGAGATAGTTAACCGTTTTAGTTTACTTGGCTCCACTCCAAGAGTCAACACTCTTGATAACAACAGCCAGGAAATCAAGAGACGAATTGCACTGGGAAAGTCTGCTGTGAGGGAGCTCTCAAGAGTACTGAAGAGCAACGACATCACGCTGGAGACTAAGGTGCGCCTGATCCAGCTATAGTCTTTGCAATTACGTGCTATGCATCGGAGAGTTGAACAGTGAATAGGGATGATAGAAAGAGAATTGATGCCTTTGAGTTGTGGTGCTGGAGAAGAGTGTTGAATATACCATGGACTGCTAGGAGAACAAGCAGGTTTGTCCTGGAGAGGGTGAAGCCAGATTGTTCCCTGGAGTCAAGGATTCTGAAGCTTCATCTGACATACTTTGGGCATGTTGCAAGGAGGGACTGGTCCGTGGAGAGGGACATCATGTTTTGGAGAGTGGAGGGACGGTGCAGGAGAGGAAGACCCTTGATGAGAGATGGATTGATTCTGTGAGTGGAGTGGTGGGAATGAATGTGTTTGAGACGGCGAGGTTGGAACAGGATAGAATGGTGTTTAGGGCTCTTGTACATAGGTTTGCTATGAGTCGCAAACAACTCAATGGCACATAACAACAACAACAACAACAATCTTCAACCACTGCTCTGCATCTGAGAGTTGGACAATAAGTAAGGATGACAGGAGTGATGCCTTTGAGTTTGGGTGTTGGAGAAGAGCACTGAGTATCCCATGGACCACTGGAAGAACAAATAGATCTATCTTGGAGAGTACCCAGTATGCTCCTTGGAGGCTAAGATGATGAAGTTTCATCTCACATACTTTGGGCATGTTGTTAGGAGGGGCTATTCATTGGAAAAGGACATTGTACTTAGAAAGGTGGAAGACCAGTGAAGGAGAAGATGACTCTGGGCCAGATGGATTGATGTGGTGACTGCAGCAATGGGCTTAAGTATGTCAGAATTGGTGAGAATGGCGCAGGATAGGATATGGTTCAGATCCATTGTTCACAGGGTCGCTACAAGTTATAGTCAACTTGTTGGCACCTAACAACAGCTCCAACTATAAATACAGATTCCAGAAAAAAAAACCACACAAAACTCCAGATTTTAATATCAGCTACAGAGTTCTGCTGGCCATGCAGGGCATATCATAGCTGGGAGGCTCTAGAATCTCCACTTTGTAGCCAGCCAGTGTTGGAGTGTTGCAGGCAACAGAAGCTGATGTTTGTTGTGCAGACAGATAATGTGTTGGCAGAGCATCAGGGCCTCCCAGAATCATTGAGCAACCTGGGGCCTATCATCAGGAAAGGACGGGAACAAGCAGAATGTTCCAGAGAACTCAGCAGGGGTAGATTAGAACGCCTTGAATGCGGATGGAATTTCTTCAACACAAACAAATATACCAAATAGAACTTAGTACGTGTCAGGAAGTGCCTCAAGTATTTAGGATGTACATTCTGTTATTGTACCCATTTTATAGATCAAAAGAACAAGTCAAGGGAGGCTATTTATGAAGCTTGCCCAGTGCCAGACAGCTAGAAGCTAGGATTGGACCTAGGTTCAGAGACTATTATATTAACAACGTTGCTATGTTACCTAAATGAATCTCAAGCATTCTTCCTTCTTGGTATCACACCCTGCTAGATTCAAAGCCCTAAAAGAGAGATTCTAATTAGTTTCACCTAAGTCAGATGTGCAGGATTCTACTAAGACAACCCAAGTTGGAAGAATCAGTCACTCAGGAGAAAAATGCATTGCATACGAAGTGGTGAAGGAGCGTAGATGTGGAATGCCTGTGAATACCAGGTGTTCATCACAGTCCTGCCCTTGATCTTCCTGACATGACTCAAACTTGCATCCTCATGTGTGTACTTCATGTTCTCATATGTACCCCTCCATCCTTCTTTTTTTTAAAATTAATTGTAATGAAAGTATACCGAGACTTAGGGTTTCCAGTCATTCATTGTTGCACTTTTCTCCCTGTCCCCTCCCCCCCATTCACTTTTCTCCTTAAGAAAAACTCTTTCATTTTTATACAATCCCTTCCCCCAAGTCCACTCCCACTGTGCAGCCTGCATTCCGGACTCCTGTCATGACAATAATACGCAATCATATACCTCTTTTAAACAGTTCTCTCCCTCATCTGTTTTAATGCAGTTTACATTATTGAACCCATCTTTCTCAGTCTCCGCCCAACCCTGAGGTCAGTCCTGTTTTACAACAGTGGCACTATGCAGTATTTGTCCTTTTGTGACTGAGATATTCCATTCAGCATAATGTCCTCCAAGGTCATCCATTTTGAATAATATTGCATGAGCTCCTTGTTTTTCAATGCAGAATAGTACTGCATTGTGTGAATATACCACAGCTTCTGTATCCATTCTTTTGTTGATGGGCACCTGGGTTGTTTCCAGCTCTTTGCTATTGTGAACAAAGCTGCGATAAACATGGGTGTGCATCCCTCCATTCTGCTTATGCTCTTGCATGTGCTTCCAAAAATAATACTTTCTACTAATAAAGTACAGCAATTCTATACGCAATTTAAAAAGGGCTGCACACACATTTGTGGTTTGGATCTATACGACAGAGCCTCCAAGAAATTACTGTACCTTTCTGAGCCTTAAGTTCTTCTTCCAAAAATTTGCTTTCTCTTGGAACTGTGTTGTTGTTGTGTTATGTGCCGACGAGTCAGAACTGACTCCTAAGTGACCCTCCAGCAAGTTTTCAGAGGCTGCAGACAACAGGGGAGGGAGCATTATCATCTCACTCAGTTTCTGTAGATCAGGTGTTTGGAGGTGGCTTAACCGGGCAGATCTCACTCAGGGTCTCTCATGAAATTACAATCACATTGACAGAGGGGACAGCTGTCAGCTGAAGACTTGACTATTGTTGTTATGTGTGCCAGAGAGTCAGAAGCAACTCACAGCTAACCTTCTAGGAGATTTTCCAGAGGCCTTAAATCGCCTAGAAAGAGAGTGTCCATCTCCCTTCCCACAGAACAGCTAGTGGATTTGAACAGCGTGCTTTAGAGTTGGCAGTTCAGCCTCTTGCCACTAGGCCACCAGAGCGCCTTCATGGAGCTGTAATGAAGATTAAATAAACTAGTGTAGATATGGTGCTTGGCTCCATGGCTGGTACTTCACAGAATTATCATTCAACACCTAAAATGGTATTGTTTTTGAGGAGCTGATGGCTGTGAAATCCGCCTCCAGATAGACAGACTTAACTGTTGGGTTAGACTCAGTTCATCTTCCAAGGACTTTTCAGAGGATTTTCCAAGCACTTTCCAAGTATGCATTTCCTCTGTCTTTGGTGAATGAGTAACTAGCTGAATCATGTTTCAACCACTTGGAAATCTGTCCCTGGTCATGCTTGAGGTGGAGTGGAGAAAACACAGAAGCGATGAAGGAATGGGCTCGGTTACGGATTTACTGCGTAGCCTTGGGTAGACCAAGCTCACCTTTCAGGGCCTCAGTTTCTTCAGCCTAGAACAGATCTTGATCCTTTTTTCATGAGGCTATTCTGAGAACTCAATAAGCAAATTCACTCAAAAGGTTTAACACAGGGCCTGGCATACAAGAGGCCTCAGGTAAACATCAGTTCTAACCATGATGCTGAGATTCCCACAACGAGGTGTCAGGTTCATTGGGTGGAAAGGAATGTTCTGATTTTGCAAGATCCAGAATTATTTTAAAATTAATTTTCTCCCTCCCATTCATTCAATAAATATTGATTTCCTTCTACTTTGAGGATTTAAATATGTGGCACCCATGTGTATACTTACATTTTCTACCCACACGGTTGTTATTGTTGTTGTGACCGCTGAGTCAAAACCGACCCACAGCTGACCTTCTGACGGGTTTTCAGAAGCAGTTAATCACATGGGAGGAGATTACCCATCCTTCTCCCACAGAGCAGCTGGTGGACTCGAATTGTGTGCCTTAGGGATTGTATCACAGCTTTTAGTAACTAGGCCTCCCTAGACACACAGTAGACACCATTAATCAACAATGCAACTTCCTACCAAGCCTAGAAGGTTTCAGAATGCTCCCAACACAGAACCCAGGCAATTGTTACGTTAATCAGTTTACACCGTA